CCCCAGAGGTATCCTGAACCTGATGTGTACATCACCGTGGAGGACGCAGACTACCGTGCTGCCCAGAGGCTGAAGCGAGAAGCTGCCAAGAAGCGCTCCTCTGAGAGGACTGGTAAGAGTTTGCAAACTTTGTGTTTAAGTTTATGTAGTTCTATTCCAAACTCTGTTTTTCAGCCCTTTGACATAAGATGGACCAGGAAGGATCTTAGGAATTGTTTGAAATCATTTTTTTCTTTTTCCTTGAACTTTATTTTTTCAGGCAGGAACAGTATGGAGATACCTGACATTGATTTTGATCACCTTCTACTTCTCAAGTCTTAACCAATCTGCGACAAACGTTTTTTCCTTGAAGCTATACTGCATTCTTATTCAACCTGCTCCATTTTTTGTCCCACAGCCTCCAAGCTGTCCCTGCAGGCCCCACAGCACCACAGTCTGACTGGGAGGAGAACTGCAGCAGGTGACATCACATCTGAGCAACAATTGGAGTCCTTGGTGAGTATCAGTGCATGTTGACTGGTTGATATTTTGTACAACAAAAAATCCCTATCATCAACTTGAAGTTACGTTGACAATATCCTTTTGAACTGCACCCTTTTTTCCCGACAAGTGTCTTACATGCAGCCAGTATTTATGATTTGAAAATAAACTTTATACCTAAACACTTCTCCATTTCTGTCACCAACAGCTGATGGAGCCCAGGCCTCCCATGGCTGCGAAGCCCGACTCTGACCAGTCTGCCAGGGCACGAGCGTGGCACCAGAAGAGGGCTCAGCACCGGACCAGAGACAGCCGCCTCCTGAAGCGCCGCTGTGAGAGTCCGAGCGGCCCGGCACGTAAACACTAAGTCCACAGGTCGCCCTGATGTCCCTTATTGTGCACATGGTGGTTCACAAACACTGAACAACTCACAGGTCTAAAGTTTAGTTTTCACAGAAACCCCTGGTATAAACCTCACCATTCCCCTTTGTTGGTCAAAATCCTTCCTCTACATAAAAGTATCTGTCCATGGACAGTGTTATTGCACATTTTTCCACTTACAAAAATTCATATTCTTCCATGAAATGACTTACAATTTCTGACCATTCAACTTTAGCAGAATTTAAGACAAACTAGATGCAATTAGTTACATGTGCCTTTGTTGAAGGATAGAGTAAGAAACGGGGGGTGGGGGGTGGGGGTGGGGGGCGAAAAACCACCAACCTGCACATAAGGGACGCATCAGGGCCACACAGTCTGACTAGAGGAATGTCCACAGCACACACAGAAATATGCCTGAAACTTTTATCTTATAACAGGCCTCTTACACCAGTGCAGTGGACACTCTGATAGTCATGTAGTAGTTACAGGGTTGTGTTTGACTGTTGTTGCATCCAGCAAAGTAATATACTATATAAGTTACAACATATTATAAAGCAGCCAACTAATTAAAACTTAATAACTAGCAATACCGGAGAAAGTGATGGGTGAAAAGAACCAGGACCCATGAACCACTATGCCACATCACGTGTCCATGTATATGTCAAACGTCTAGGACGGAAACAAAAGAAACCAGCTTTGAGACAATTACCAGTAATCAAAATTATCATGGACAAATTTTTCTGCAATAGCGTTCAAACACACCCTACTTAAGTACCTGGACTTTAAGTTTGTAGAGCTCAGCTAAAGAGTTCTTAAAGTGCCATATTTTAAGCAGTTACTGTAGTAGTCTGCTGATCCAAAGGGAGGCCAACAGGAGTGTGGCCCGCACACAGCAAATAACCTTTACCTCTCCGGTAGGGGCTGTAGGTCCTGAAAGAGGGGGTTTCCCTTTGGGGTGTGTGTGGCTAAGAAGTAGTGATCTACTGTATGTATAATGGTGGATCAATCACACCCAAGACTGTAACAACAAGGGTGGATCACCTTTTAAGACTACTTTTAATGTGAGTCACTGAGTCCTGCTGGTCAGGACTTAGTCCATGTGCACGTTATAATTAGGCTGCACCAAAGTTGAGAAAAGACCGGCTGGGCTACATGTATATGCATGCCTGAGCCCTTTTAAACTAAAAAGAGAGTGAAAACTCTTATTTGAAGACCCCTTGAGATAACGTAATTTAGGGGAATTTTTAGAGAAACTGGTGAAAAACTGTTCTGGTGAAATGTCCTTTGTGGACAGTTTCTCAGTTCTACGTCAGCTTAAACTGAGAACTAGGAACCTATATTGTAAGTACAGTAGAGCAATGATTTTTAAATGATGCGCCTAATTCCCAACATACTTGTATCAGAATTAGAGCGATAAAAAAACCTCAACACTGCTAATAGAACGATTGAAGACACCAGGAGTAGAGCAGGTTGAGGTGCACTCTGTTGTGTGATCCTGAGCACCCAAATTTGCGCTAGATTGTATGGTAGAGTGCAGGAAGGCAGTCAGATAATGCTTCCAATACACGACTTGGTAAGGACTCTGAAGTAAAACTTATTGTGTAGTATACAACAAGCCAATTGAAGTAAAAAGAAGCTAAGTAAGAACAAGCTAAAGATAAAACTTAACTCTCAGCTGACTGTTCAGTGCTGCTCTCTACAGCTCTCTGGTGTGTCCTGATCATGTTGGACCACACTAGAGAGCCGGCATGCTATGGGTTTCCATAGCACTGCCCTGTCTGGCCAATCCGATAACACCACAGGATTGCTACTGTAATGCCGTAGACAGTACAGCCAGCGACGTGCACACATGCACATGTGTTGGTTTCCTTGTTCCAGTATTGGCCCTGTTACTGGACAGGAAGCCAGCCATGTTACACTCACCTGCATTTACACGAATGTTTGGTCCCTGCCCGGAATTTTGGCCCAAGTTCTGGGCAGGCGACCAAACATGCAACATACACCTTCTCACCCACACAAGTTCAGCAAACAGACTCTACATGTAGGAGGCAGAGCAGCACTGGCAGTCAGCAACCTGCTACATTATAAACAAAAAGTGTCATCCAGAAACATGTATCAAACAAATTTATTTTCATTGCTGTTTTAAATCAAACTGCTTAACAATTTTTGACTTTATTGATATTCTATTTCATTCCACTGCCTAAAGCTCATTTGGGCTTAAGTCCCACAAATAATTATCTTGAATCCTCCCCCAAAACATTCTATTGTTTCGTTTTTTTAAACATCTCTAGTAAACTACTTTATTTCTGAAATACTACATGTAAATATGGACTTTAACACCGATTGTTAGGGCAAATCAGGGCAACACCACTCCAGTTAACCGGACCAGACAGTACTCGACACTGCAGCTGGGTGGGGAAGGGGCGGGCGGGGTCAACCCCACAGACGGCCGACGCTCGGCCCTGCTTACTACCTCTACCTCCTCTACTGCACCATCTGGCGGACATGACTCTGTAGTCTGGGGAGTTGACGTCGGGAATCGGGTCCCATCCTCCCCGGACCCCACAGTCATGTCCGCTTGTCAGCAGTGGGGGAGGTAGGGCTAGTCCGCGGGGCCTTGTGTCTGTGCTGTCTGTGTGGGGAGATCTTGTACCAATCTGGAACTGCCCTGGCTGAAGTGGAAATGTACTGTGTGGCCCTCTCCAACTGAAGTGGGTTTGCCTCATGTGTGCCATCTGTGACGAAATATTTTCATGTAGCATCTTCTGTTTTTTGTTCCTCCCTATATTTTTGTTGGCAGTCAAGATGAAATCCAGACCACTATTCCCTCAAAACACAACCCTGTGTGGCATGATGCGAGCAGTCATTCACCCGGGGTTATCGAACTACAATTTCGAACCTTAATTTGAAGTCCCTTAAAGCTAGTTACGGAAATATCAATGATTTTAGGGTCTGGAACAGAAGAGGAAACTGAGTAAAAACAATATGTTTTGCCTTCAGTAAACATAAAAATAATGAATGTAATTTCTCTCTGGGTTATTAGTCTCCCAAATCCCAAGAAATTTGCAGCAAATTTGGGTACATGTCAAAAGGGCATTCTGCAACATTTTTTCACCACTTTTCAGCATATTTGTGCAACAACATTTCTAGCTTTTATACATACTCAGTCATAATGCATATTTCGGAGTAGGTTTGATTACATGAATTGACCAGAACATTGACATTTCTTTTCATTGTAAATACATAATGCAGCTTTATTGTCATTACAAGTGAATTAATCTGTATTGTGTTGTATGATACAAAGTTGCTGATGTAGCTTAACTGCTAAACACTATTCAAATGTTCTGTATAATACTGTACAATATATTTTTGTATACAAACTATATGCTACAACTAACTGAATAACCTGTCTACAAATGTCGGAATAAATGTACTTCTGTGGTGACACATATTTTGGCTCAGGTGTACTTCTGTTGTCAGTAGTGTTGAATGTCCTTAATGCCTAGGTTCAGGATTGGTGTCTACGTCCCTGAATTACACACCTACAAGACTGGTGCCTTGTGCTTAATGGCACACCATCAAGACTCTTGTTTAGACCTGTCCCTGGTGCTGAACTACACCAACAAGACTGGTGTCCCTGTCCTTGGTGCTGAATGACACACCAACAAGACTGGTGTCCCTGTCCCTGGTGCTGAATGACACACCAACAAGACTGGTGTCCCTGTCCCTGGTGCTGAATGACACACCAACAAGACGGTGTCCCTAAATGAACGCCAACAAGACTGGTGTCCCTGTCCTTGGTGCTGAATGACACACCAACAAGACTGGTGTCCCTAAATGACACGTCAACAAGACTGGTGTCCCTGTCCCTGGTGCTGAATGACACACCAACAAGACTGGTGCCCCTGTCCCTGAATGACACACCAACAAGACTGGTGTCCCTAAATGACACACCAACAAGACTGGTGCCCCTGTCCCTGAATGACACACCAACAAGACTGGTGCCCCTGTCCCTGGTGCTGAATGAAACACCAACAAGACCGGTGGTTTAGCTATAGTGTTAACTTGACCAAAAAGGACAAGTACTCTTTTTTTCCAGCACTTGCAGAAAACAACTCTTCAAGTCAAAACACATCCAGTACTTTTTAAAGGATTTATTAGCAAACATACTTAGAAATCAGACCACATCTTACACATTGAACAGTCAATCTTTTTGATTTTTCGATCAAAAGTAAACTTTGTATGGTCACTCTAATGTTGGTTTTCAACACTACCTACACTTGGGTTTTCTAAAACAATGTCATCGGAAATATTTTCAGTCCAGTATTATTTTTTCTTGAACAAGTGGCTGTATCTTTTGGCATCAAAGTCGTCCTCAAATTCCTCTTCCACCCGCTGCACCTGTTTGGGCATCCGTTTGGCCATCCGAAGTCGTCTCTCCTGGTCCGACAAACTGTCAATGTCCAGCGGCATCTTTGAAAAGAAGATATCGTGAAAGAACCTACATTTGAAGTTCAATAAATACTAATGCTGTAGATTCAATAGCAGTGCTTTTCAGCATATGTGCACTGGGCCAGGCAACATCGAAAATAACCTGAACCAGATAAATTTACCTGAACCACTCAGATTTCACCTACCAGTATATCAATTCGTGAATAGTTTCATCAGGTTTTTTGGGTGACCGTCTGTCACCTTCGTCAGGAATGCATCTATAGCAGCGACACCTGTGCTGTAGTGCAATGTGGACCAGTCTGAATTGCCCTGAGGAAGGTGACAGACGGTCACCGAAACGTCGGCTGAATAAAAGACTTGTTTGTGTAAAAAGAGTCCCTTTTCTCATTGACTTACCAACCAGGTGAAACTATTCACTTACTGTATATCCAGTGTTCTTACCTTTATCACACCTATGGGTTCTTTGTACGGAACAGTGATGGTGGATCCATCTGGCTGCACGACTCGCGCGTTGTACGTTCTGGCATACTTGGTACGGTTCAGTCTGGCGATGGTTGTCCTGTTGGAGTTGTGTCGGACTTGGTGCACTACAGATGAGAGCAGCACAGGGTCTCTAGAGCCACAGGGACAGAGTCTGGTGTACAGCAAACATCTGCAGGGGAAGGGTATTGTATATGCTTTACACAATGAAATATAGAATACAACATGCTGTATTTTATCTATGTCATACCCACCTGAGAAAATTTGCGAAATGTGCCAAAATTTGGTGCTGGGGTAGTAGGGAGAGGGCTCTTGTGTCTTATGCATTTTAACACTATGCTCAAACTATCGCTAATTTTTAAAATTCTTAATTATCAAGGCAAGGAAGCTCAGGATGGTGTTTTTTGTTCTCATCATTGAGCGAGATGCTCATGTGTTGTGCAACCAAGTAGTCTTTCTTGTGAATATTGTAAGGAAATTTCACATCTAATTGTTCCTTGAAAGCCACAGAAAGATACCGAAGGTTGAATCGTCGACAAAAGATGCTCATTACTTCATAAAAAGGGGACAAATTCGAATGTGAGCGAGGGACTCACCTCAGCATGGGCGCTGCCATCTTGATACAGACTGACGCAAAACGGCAAGGTCAATGACCTCTGATCAAGGGCTCCTGAAGATCAAGATTTTGGCGGCCAGAAATAACAGCAAGAACAGATTTTCAGTTGTAAAATACATTATTGTAATGAAATTGCTGATTTTGATGTCAACAGTACATTTTGAAGAAAGAAATGTTGAAAAGTTTGAAGGAGTTCCGATTTTACGACAGTACACCCGGATGACAGTCACATGATGTCATCAAAGATGGAGGACGTCTAGCAAAAAAATATCGATACTCGGAGGTTTTGTGCTGATTTTGACTCCCACAGGCGACCCTACGGCTAGGTAAGTGTCAGAGTATCGTCTTAATCTTTATTGGTAAGAACAAAGTTGACATTTATGTCTCTATAATTACATAAGACCCGTTATAAATACGTCATCGGTGTTGTTGTGGCAAAAATAAGGGGGAGGGGCAAAAAAAATATCTTCACCTAACCTAGTTCCTGTAGGCCAAAGAATCCTAAAGATGTAGTCCAACCAGTAAGGACTCCAAGCAATCCAAGGAAGCAATAAACAGTGTTATCAACCTAGAATAATTTGAGGAGCCGTGTTTTAACTTTTAGAGAACGTTATGTTCAGATGGTGCTACCATATGATGGAATTGGCACGAAAACTCTCGCGAGACAACGAGTCTCCAACACGTGACCCCGAAGAGAGCGTGTCGGGACATGCACGGACATTCCCTCATTCTACAGTTCGTCACGCAGCGCTGCAGTAACGTGGGTAATAGCGCCGACAGAGACAGAGTGTGCTGCAACTTCCCGCGCTTTTCGGAGACGCCTCCTCGGTTTAGACCACTCGGACTCTAGTTTTTATATATTTTTTTCCCGTCCCCTGGGTTTACCTTGGCCCCTCGGAACTCTCTCCGTCCCGAGTTTTACCCCCGACCATGTTTGGAGCCGGCAAGAGAAAGATTAAACTCCCCGCGCGATACGCCGCGTCTCCGGCGGAGGACGACCCTGAATGGCTTTCGACTCCAACAGACAACCTCGCGGAGCAGCTAGACAACGAAATTTTAGACGTTTCCAGACGCATAGAGCAAATGAAGGTCGACATGGGCCTGGAAAACCGGACGGAATCCACGTCTACCCCCCTCCCCACGCACGGCGACGTCATCGGTCAGAGGTCGACCATCCCAGAAGCCCTTGCGCAAGATCCTCAAGATGGCCGCCACCAGCGCCTTTCAACAAGAGCTCCTAAGCCCATCGCCCCACCGGATGGCCACTATCCAACCTTGCGTGAGGTCCGGGCGTTTCACAAGGCGCATAACGACCCGTCCATTTTCACACAGTATTTCCCGAGGCAGACAGGCGGGACTCACGTCGCCGATACGATCCGAAGCTCTGACGGACGTCCCAGGCAGTTCAACCTTCAACACGTCTCTGACGAGGACGCGCACCCGCCGACCCAAGGTAAGAAGCTCAGTAGCGGTCTTTCGAGAAAAGCACATGACAGAGTAGTTCGAGAAGTGAACTGGCCGCATGAATTCGTCTTCTCTGCCAACACCACCATCACTCATGACTCGCTGACTTTAGATCAACTTGTGGCTGGCGAAATGGCCATCATTCTAAGTCCTCATACAAATCCCATGGAGAGTCAAAACAGGGGCCATATTTTGAAAGGGCTCATGCTCGACGTTCCCACCTATTCCTTTCCCGGTATTAAGAACTTCTACAAGATTCTGTTTATACACGTAGAGCACGGCCTGGTCACCATAGACAGCACTACTACCTTATCAGAAGTACACAAGTTGAAGGAGGAACATCTGCGACGATCTCCCCGCAACCACAACAGTATTGATGGACAAGCAGGACATGGTCATGCCACACCAGTTGAGAGAGCAGGGGGCTCTGGAAGCACGTATTGCTACAGATTCCAGGCCAACAATTGCGCCTTCTCTGCAGATCACATAGCTGCTTCTGGTACCCTTCACGTCCATGCCTGCAAGTTCTGTGCCAGACACAGACCTGGGGTTGATGCTGGACACCCTGCCAAGTTCTGTCCTTATAACCGGGACCGCGGCCGACAGGGCAACCACGCAGTCGCAAGGGACACTCTTGCCTGACTAGGCCCAGTCCAGACCTCAGAACTGATAAACCCGGCATCGACTTTGAATGGACATAGGACTACGCAGATGCCTTCTACAGCGGGCGTCGCCAGTCAATCCCCACTAGTGATGGCTGCAAACGTCACACGCAGACCTAGCCCGTTGTTACAACTGACTGCCTCAGCAACAGACTCGTGTTCCTCAGATCATGATCCAAATCCTCCACTCTCTGAGATGGCGAACCCCCCTTCAGCACCCACCGCTCTGAAGCCTTTACCAGACAAAACGGCGAGCGCGTGCCTCCACCCACATGCCCTGAAGCCCTCACCAGCGAAGACGGCTGGCATCGTACACCCACTCCCACGCTCCGACGCCCTCACCGCGAAGACGGCCGGAATGTACCCCCCACTCCCATGCTCCAGAGCCCTCACCAGCAAGACGGTGGGCATGTACACCCACTGCCATGCTCCAGAGCCCTCACCAGCAAAGACGGCGAGCATGCAGACCCACTTACGTGTTCCGAAGCCCTTACCAACGAAGACGGCGAACAGTGACCAGCCTTCTACACCTGAGCTTCCTGCCACACAGACACGGAGTGCAGCTGATCTAACCTCATCGACCAGTTCCCGGTTTCGCTCAGTAGCAGGCTCAGACCAGGACGGACCCAGCTTCCTGCATCAGGTCGTCCACGCCTCAGCCCCCGGCTCTGAAGCCCTCACCAATTACGACGGCGAGCATCCCTCTGCAGCCCCCAGCTCTGAAGCCCTCACCAACTACGACGGCGAGCATCCCTCTGCAGCCCCCGGCTCTGAAGCCCTCACCAGATACGACGGCGAGCATTCCCCTGCAGTCCCCAGCTCTGAAGCCCTCACCAGACACGACGGCGAGCATCCCTCTGCAGTCCCCAGCTCTGAAGCCCTCACCAAACACGACGGCGAGCATCGCTCTGCAGTACCCAGTTCTGAAGCCCTCACCAAACACGACGGCGAGCATTCCTCTGCAGTCCCCAGCTCTGAAGCCCGCACCAAACACGACGGCGAGCAATCATCTGCAGTACCCAGCTCTGAAGCCCTCACCAGACACGACGGCGAGCATCTCTCTGCAGTCCCCAGCTCTGAAGCCCTCATCAGACACGACGGCGAGCATCCCCCTGCAGTCCCAAGCCCTGAAGCCCTCACCAGACACGACGGCGAGCATCCCTCTACAGTCCCCAGTTCTGAAGCCCTCACCAGACACGACGGCGAGCATCTCTATGCAGTCCCCAGCTCTGAAGCCCTCACCAAACACGACGGCGAGCATCTCTCTGCAGTACCCAGCCCTGACGCCCTCATCAAACACGACGGCGAGCATCTCTCTGCAGTACCCAGCTCTGACGCCCTCATCAAACACGACGGCGAGCATCTCTCTGCAGCACCCAGCTCTGAAGCCCTCACCAAACACGACGGCGAGCAATCATCTGCAGTACCCAGCTCTGAAGCCCTCACCAAACACGACGGCGAGCATCTCTCTGCAGTACCCAGCTCTGAAGCCCTCACCAAACACGACGGCGAGCATTCCTCTGCAGTCCCCAGCTCTGAAGCCCGCACCAAACACGACGGCGAGCAATCATCTGCAGTACCCAGCTCTGAAGCCCTCACCAAACACGACGGTGAGCATCTCTCTGCAGTACCCAGCTCTGAAGCCCTCACCAAACACGACGGCGAGCATTCGTCTGCAGTCCCCAGCTCTGAAGCCCTCACCAAACACGACGGCGAGCATCTCTCTGCAGTACCCAGCTCTGACGCCCTCACCAAACACGACGGCGAGCATCTCTCTGCAGTACCCAGCTCTGACGCCCTCATCAAACACGACGGCGAGCATCTCTCTGCAGTCTCCAGCTCTGAAGCCCTCACCAAACACGACGGCGAGCATCTCTCTGCAGTACCCAGCTCTGAAGCCCTCGCCAACTACGGCGGCGGGCTCTCCCAACCGTCACATGATGAGAGGAACGGCTTCGATCGTCATCCTCCTCGTTTGTCGGTTGATCAGTACCTGCGGGGAGTCGAAGGACATGTCACTTCTGGTCGCGGCTCACGCCGGAGAGCCGATGCGGAACGTTCGTAACTTCGGCCATCAGTTGAACGACTACGTGACGGCCACGTGTACTCGCGGGGATGCGGTCCCTCATCCTGCAGCGTTCCTGACAACCCCTGGTCGCGGCCTACGCCGGAGAGCCGATGCAGAACGCTTGTAATTTCGACCGTCAGTTGAACGACTACGTAACGACTACGTGTACTCGCGGGGATGCGGTCCCTCAACCTGCAGCGTTCCTGACAACCCCCATCAGAGTCTTCTTGGCGCCTTCGGTCTGGCCTGACATCTTGGGTGTAACACTGATACATCGACGCATGAATAAAGATGTCACCGCCAAGTACAACTCTGATCCTTTATTGAGTGAGACAATTATGTTCAGATGGTGCTACCATATGATGGAATTGGCACGAAAACTCTCGCGAGACAACGAGTCTCCAACACGTGACCCCGAAGAGAGCGTGTCGGGACATGCACGGACATTCCCTCATTCTACAGTTCGTCACGCAGCGCTGCAGTACCACCGCCATCCCCACAACAGACTGTAGTTATTTCATGTCAGTTTCGTCACATTCACACATTGTGTGCACTTGTACCCTGCACCAGTTAACTATATGTAGCTTACCTAGAGTCATGTCACTTGTGTCAATGTATTATCCTCAAATCCCGAGCTATGTGGCTGCGGCTAAGTTTATTTAAAATTGCTCAGACAGTCGTCGCTTTAGTGATTGTACTATCACATCTCCCGAAGCGAGTTTGAGAACGAATCTAGTTCCCTTTTATGCCACATTCTTGTTGTTTTTAGCCAACCGTTTTATGTGAGCAATGGAACGTATTAGTGGCATCTTCACCTTGTTTATTTTAACTAGTTGTCTACCTTTTATTATTGCTATGACTAGTTTATAGCCTACTAGATTTTAACAATTACGAAGTATAATATTCAACTTGTCTTTTAAACGTTTGTATCAAGTTGGGTAGTAGGCCCGAGTGCCACAGTCATCCTCCTTAGCATTGAGTTCCTCGGCGTAAATGCCGCTCACAGCCTCGTATGTATTCAATTGTATATATCTGTGAAGTTATATCTCAGGGCGGAGAACGAACCAACTAGTCTTGTCCACGACTTTATTGTTACTGTTCTTTCACTGAGCACCCTATTTCACATATAGTTGTTCTACCTTTCCACTACCTTGTTGCTCGTTCTGCCTAGGAGCTAAATGGCACTAGGCCTGACATCTTGGGTGTAACACTGATACATCGACGCATGAATAAAGATGTCACCGCCAAGTACAACTCTGATCCTTTATTGAGTGAGACAATTTCTATAAACGAGCTATAGAAGTCTCCAACACCCCGAAAAAAAGACAGAAGTTGATAAAAACCAGCTGGCATAATGTTAGCATTCTGTAACAGTGCTAACTGACCATGCTAAATGGTCGTGCGACCTTTTAGTGTAGTGGTTAGCGTTGGTGACCGCCAAGCGGACAACTCGGGTTCGATTCCCGGTTGTGACCTGCTCGCCCCTTTCGGTTTTTACAGTGGCGCCCAACGTGGGGCTCGAACCCACGACCCTGGGATTAAGAGTCCCATGCTCTACCGACTTTCGGTTTTTACAGTGGCGCCCGATGTGGGCCCTGTGAGTACTGGCACTGAGGATAAGTGTGGCAGCTCCAGGGATGTCGGACTCGGAAGATTCGAGGACGAATCTTGAAAGAAAAGGGGGAGTAGTGTAACAGTGCTAACTGACCATGCTAAATGGTCGTGCGACCTTTTAGTGTAGTGGTTAGCGTTGGTGACCGCCAAGCGGACAACTCGGGTTCGATTCCCGGTTGTGACCTGCTCGCCCCTTTCGGTTTTTACAATTCTAAAGAAGACACTTTTAATCCGTTAGTGTTGCCAGCCAGCCTTAATTTACCGTTTTGCCAGTATCCCGCATGCAGACCCTCTTAAATAAACCAATCACTGCTATTTGACAAAAAAAGTGCTCTGTCATTCTTATATTAATTTTTTCCATGCAGATGTCTGTTCACTTCAAGTTGAGGAGTCGCCTGTGTTCCATCATCATGCCGAGGTCTACGTACTACCAGTTCCTCTTCACTGCCACGCTGGGCTGCTTTCTGTTTGTGGGACTTGTCGAAGGTTTGTACCTCCTGGACATTCTACAGAAAATTTAGCAGACTCTACAACTACAAGTCAGGCTTTGGGGGCTTGAAACATGCTTTTTTTTTCTGATTGCATATCAGTTCTCAAAGACTTTGCACAAGAAGACAAGTACTGAAAACTGATACATAAATGTGGCAAACTATTTTCCCTCATTCACAACAAAATTGATAATGAATTAAACAAGAAATTTTTAGATGCTTTCCTTTAGTGGTTTGAAATCTCTGATTTCTTGTTTTCCTCTCAGGTTTAGGTATAGGAATCAGCACCATTCGCGACCTTACTCTGGAGCCAGGACAGAATGAAACAATAGTCATACAACTCAGGTATGTGCTCATGGTAGATCTACAATCTCAATACAAGTTTAAGCTAAAAGTATTATGTGGAAATAGAAATAATGTATAGAAAATTGTTGGAAAAATAGTAGAAAATACATATGAACTAGAAAGGTAACTGAAGTGATAACATTACAATCATGTTGTGTTTGTACTCTTGCAGTGGTCGTTTAAAGAAGTCAACCATCCTTTTTGCTGAATCTTCTAACAAGGACATATGCACTATTGAAAATGTAAGTACTATATATATATTGTGTTTGTATGTACCATCATAGAAAAAGCTGCTATTTCCAGTACTAAAGTGTTGTTGGTTGTGAGTATGACTATTACTTGGAGTACACATATGCTGCATCGATATCTCTATGCAGGTTACCATTCCAGCGGGATGGAACTCTTCTGTACGAACCCGAGTCATCGCTCTCAAGGTCGGGCAGACAGATGTAACCTTCAACAGCTCGTCTTCAGAACTCACTGGGTATGCCTCCTTCTGGTTAAAGAAAACTTTTATCCCCGGACAAGTTTTAGTTGTTATTTGGCAATATATTTCATATGTAGGACCTTGTACAATTGTTGTGCAATAAGGTTTAAAAAGAATTTTATTATATGTCATCATCACCTGATTTATACTTCTTTATTCCCTTGCTTTTGCAGACTGGATAGTGTGTTCACTAAGGTGTCGGTAGTCCACAGTATACCTCTACACGTTGTCAATGCTGTGATTGGCTGGATCTACTTCGTAGCCTGGTCCGTGTCCTTCTATCCACAGATATTTGAGAACTGGAGAAGGAAAAGGTGAGGGGAGGTGGAAAGCTTCAGTCTTCTTTTTATCCTCATCACAGACTCAGACGGTATTGACTGTAGACAGTTGATCTGTTGACTCAATGTTCAAGTTAGAGTTCTTTGAAGTTTCCTAACAATAATGTTTCAATGATCAATGAGACACTGGTGAGTTAAGCCTAGAAAGACTTGGTTCAAATTTGAAAAGCCGTAGCTCCTTGGCATGAATATGCTCGGTATCAAACTCTTGACCACCTAGCCACTTGGCCATTTGACACCACATACAATATACAACATGTATGTGAACCTTCTTGCTAGATGTATGGAAATATGTCAGGCTTGTAATGTTGTGTGACTGCAATATTGAACTACTTGTTAGGACAATGTTTGACATTGTCTCCTATATTCCAGTGTTGTTGGCCTGAACTTTGACTTCTTGGGCCTGAACTTGACGGGGTTCCTTGCCTACGGGTTCTACAATGTGGGGATGTTCTGGGTTAAAGAAATACAGGTAAGGTCAAAAGTGTCAAACTGTATGAAATTCTGACTCTATCGTTCAATCAAACAATACAAGTTCTTTTGTAGGTTCAAGTAATTGTTGTAACATTTTACTTTGTAAATACAAGTGTACATCAGTTTTTATTTTTGAGTAACTGTTGCATGTAATATTATAACAACAGTGTTACACTTATATAACCTTATTCTTTCTTTCATCTAGGTGGAGTACAAAGCTCAGTTTGGCCTCCACTCCGTCAACCCTGTTCAACCCAACGATGTTTTCTTCACGATTCACGCTGTGTTTATTACAACTGTCACTATTCTGCAGTGCTGTATATACGAGGTAAGCTGTTCAGTATTTCAGATAGATTTGTATATACTGGGTTCTCGCCAGAAATTCTAAGGGGAGAGGTGCTCCCAAATAGGTTGATGAAAAGCAAATTTTCATGAAAATGCTAAGAGAACATTTGCTAAGAAAATGCTAAATTTTAACATTTTGGGAGAGGTGCTAGGATTTTGGGCAGAGGGGCACCCTTGCTTCATTGCTAGGGGAGAGCCCTGAATATATACTTTTTTTTTTTCAATCGTGCAAGACAATTGCTTATCATACGCTGATACAAAACTAAAGTAACTTAGAGATAATACATGTAACTACACCTGTGTTCCAGAGAGGAGGGCAGAGGATGTCGTACATTGGGATAGGTCTGGTGGTCCTGGCATGGCTGGTGGCCGCGGTGGGACTGGTCCTGGCGCTAACTAACACTCTAACCTGGCTCACCTACCTCAACTTCTTCTCCTACATCAAACTGGTCATCACGCTTGTCAAGTACATTCCACAGGTGGGTCAAGCACAAAGGTCACGTTAAACAAATTTGGCAGGTCTTGGATTTTAAAGGCATCCAATGCAATTTCAGGGCAGCAAAATAAGTAAAATATTCTAGATGAGGAGATCTGCTTGATCTTGATATTTCTTAGCACATTTTCTTCATCATTTGATAATTGAAGTGTTTGGAATAGCCCAAAAACAAGCTACACCAGGAGTTACCTTTGTGTAATACCAATTACATGTAATAGGTAGAACCGGCCTATGATACAAAACAAGCAACTGTTTTCTATCACTGACATCACATTTTTTCTTACACTAAGTTACAGTTACAGATATTTGTATGCTATGAGATGCCTTTATGAAGGTGAGCTTGGCTGACATAGTAACAAGTGTACTTGATTTCTAGGGTTACATGAACTGCCGCAGGAAAAGCACGGAAGGCTGGAGCATCGGGAACGTTCTACTGGACTTCACAGGAGGCACCTTCAGTCTCCTACAGATGTTCCTCATAGCCTACAACACAGGTAGGTCTCATCCAGATGTTCCTCATAGCCTACAACACAGGTAGGTCTCATCCAGATGTTCCTCATAGCTTACAACACAGGTAGGTCTCACACAAAGGCATCCTAAAACCAAACATTGTTATGGAACAAATTTTCTCTGAAACTGTGACTTACTGGAATTTCTTAGCTATTATATTATTCAGCTGCAATTTCATCCCAAGAGAGTGAAGTACATTTATCGTTTATGTGTATAGTGTGTCTTTCAAATCTTTATTAATTACCTTTTATTAAATATCAACATGGCAGACGTGCCAAAGTACTTCGGGCACGTCTGAATTGCATTGACATTTTACAATTATACATCATACAAACATCATCACAATAGATTAAAAACATCATCATCATTTAAAAATCAACATCAAGAACACGTAGGTTAAAATAGTACAATTTCAGTTTAAAATACAATATATATGTATACATGTCTTTGTGTGTGTGTGTGTGTGTCTGTCTGTGTATGCATTTGTGTGTTTGAGTTGTATTTGTGTATATGTTGGAGTGTGTCTGTATGTTATATGAAGGGTTTTAAGTCTTCTATCTGTGATTGTATTGTTAAAGTTGTGTGTATTCAAGACCATTAACATGTTCTCTGTAACATTCTCCCCCCCAGATGACTGGACCACCCTGTTTGGAGACTTCACCAAGTTCGGCCTGGGTGCCCTGTCCATCCTGTTTGACTTGTTCTTCATGCTGCAGCACTACGTTCTCTTCCCGGTGTCAAAAAGAGAGAAGCACGTCCAGAATGCTGATAACGTTGTTGCCAACAGCACTGATGATAATGAACCTCTCCTAAAGGCTTCACATGCCTAGTCTGGATAGTTAATATTGTGATTCCCAATGCCCGAGCGCTTAGGCTAGCAGACACAGGATCAAGAGTCATGGGTTCAATTCCTGATAATCCTCAGCAAAGACACTTTACACGACTTTCTTCACTCCATGGCCTGGCAGAATGACAGGTCAAAAGGTCAGACACAGGAAATAGGATGAACTTAAGAATAGTGGGTGGGTGCAGAATGACAGGCAGAATACTAGAATGGTAAGACATGTAGGTGTAAATGGGTACCTGACTTCAGTTGGGGAGGTAAAATGTCATGGAAGTAGGCCATGCCCAGGACACATTGGATTTACTAGTACATGTATATCCCACTTCCCTCACAGCCCCAAAAAGGGCATGGGACTTTTACCATTTTTTACATAACTAGAGCAAAGGTTAAAGCACAACAAAAGCAAAATACAATACCATTGTTTGTATTGAATGCAAGCATTGTGAAGTTTTAAGGGTACTGTACTGTGAATTCTAAATCAGAAAAACTTGCAGCTACATGTACTGATAATAATGACATTAAAGATTAAACTTTGTAAACTATATGAGAGTGAACCTAAGCATATCATTACAAATTCATGTAAATGAAAAGTTCAATGTTGTGAATCTTGTGATATTTAAGTGTTGTGATATTTTAGAGTATTGTACTATGCATCTAAATCAAAGAAAAGTTATGGGCAAATGATTCTGGAAGAATAATAGGGGTAGTGACCGTAAGTCTGAATAAAGGAATATTATAACAAGTTAAAGTCATTAAAGTACATGTATATGGCTGTGTAAATGATGTACTTGTGTAAAAAATAAAGTATGGGATAGGAAAACACTAATGCAGTTTTGTGTCATGGCTGGTTGTAGCTATTTATTGATGATGCCGAAAAACACAGTCACTCCTCATGTAGAAGTTGTAGTGCTGCCTTAAATTTCATTGGATGCCTTTGAGTAGGTGCTGGGTAATTAAAAACCCTTTTAATTTTACCCTTTTCTTGAAAAAAGGTTTGGAGTCACTACTTGAGCTTTCGCTCATGGGCGCAGTTACTTTACGCTTTGGAAAAATGAGCAGGTGAATAGTGCGAATACGCCGCTATCTGAATGAGAAGCTAGGTTTACTTTCAAATCTCCCGGTAGGTTTCCAAGATGGCCGCGCCCATGGACAAAGTTGCCGAACATCACAAACAAAAACAAATTTGTGCCTCAAGACCGGCTTACCGGCAGGGCAGAAGGGACAGGGCTGTAAAGGTAAGTTTCTTCTGTTATAGGAAAGATACAGTCGCTTGACAGTTATGTATTTAGACGCTACAAAACGTTTGTTCATCTATATACCACTCTGCCCCCCTCCCCACGTCCTGAACTTTATTTCGACAAGAGCAAAACAAGTTTTGTTTACAGGCGTGTTTCGACGAAGAGTGAAAGTTTCTGTTCTGCTTTGTTGCGTCAAAATGTGTGATACGTACTTGGGTCAGCACAGGCAGACTCAGCTGGTATAATTTTATACATATACGGCAAAAAAAAATTAAAATCGATCAATAATTACATGTTGTATGTATAAGGTAAAATACAATACATGTAGCAGCAAATGTAGCTTGACAAGATATGTCTCAACCTTGTATAAGTACATGTATTTCCCAAGTTGGAGTAGATAGAAGTCTATTGCCATATATGTTGGTAGTGCAAAACAAACAAGCAAACAAACAAACAAACATCTGTTTTATCCCGTCCCAGGTGTACACAGTTAACCAGGAGTCTCGGTACCTGCTGGTGCAGGGTGTTCCTGCCATCGGGGTGACCGAGGATCTGGTGAGACGGTTCGCGCTGTACGGCGCCGTGCAGGAGTACCGCGTCCTACACGAGTACCCTGCTGAGGAGTTCACACAGGCCTACTGGATCAAGTTCGACAGACTTCAGGCTGCAAGGTTTGCGACAGAACTGTTATACATCTCTCTCAAGGCTGCATACCTGTACCTTAACAATATGTACCTGTACCTGTAGCCAACATGTATAGATATTTGTACCAGTTACTAGACAACTACACTAAGTAAAAATCTTACAACTTAGGATGACAACTCTAATACCACTGAAAAACAGGAAGATCTATCTGATCAGTGATACCCTTAAATGTGTGTGTGTGTTTTTGTGTGTACATGTGTGTGTCTGTGTGTATGTATGTATGTATGTATGCATGTGTTCGATTGTATCCCTCTATGTTCTGCCTAAGGGTGCTTCAACCATCTAGGGGTGAAGTTTGCCATCTCTGATTTTTTTTCTTGTTGTTTCCAGAGTGGCTAAGAGAAAACTTGACGAGTACTCTTTCTTTGGAGGAGTGCTCCATGTGAGCTATGCCCCGGAGTTTGAGACAGTAGACGACACCAGGGAGAAGTTGGGAGAAAGGAGAATCCTGATCGCCAACAAAACTAGAGGAAAAGGTAAAAGGAAATTACTTGGAATCTTTGGTTATTTTGATCATTTGTGTTACTTTTTTCAAAATCCTTGAAGAAATCATGAAATCATCAGTAACACCAACAAAGCCTGATTACAATTTTTGTATCATGTATCAACTCCTTGACATGTACCATATTTAATACATACAAATATATCTTTCAATACAGATCAACATGGCAAGCAACATTCTGCTTCATCTCATGAAGACAAAAAGAAAGTTCCAGCTTCTTCATCTACATCAACCTTGCAAAATGAGCCAAGTCAAAGAACTAATTATCAAGAAGAATTTCCACAGGTGCCTTCAGAAGTTGAAACATTTCCTGCTCTTCCAGCACCCCCACAACAACAATGGTACCATCCTGCACAGCAACAGTCACAATGGGACGTTCCAAAAGTTGCCTCCAAGCAGGGGGTTTTCCCCGTGGGTTACGACGCTCGCTTAACTGTTCCAACTCCCAACACAAACAAATCAAGTCCTAGAAGTAAAACATCTTCAGATAATCAGGATGAAGATTTAGGACCTCTGATTGGTCCACAGCTTCCATCCAAGCACCAATCAGGTGACAGCAAGGAAGGCACATCAGGACAATCTGTTGTTAGACCAGATCTTGTTCCCAGACAAGTCATGGCAGGAAGAAAGAGGCCTGCTCCTCCTGGCTTCTTTGGGGAAGCCTTAGACGAAGATAAAGACTCCAAAGAAGTAGATGAAGACGTAGGGGATGAACTGCAGAAGGCATCTTGTCCAGATACTGGCAGCTCTTCCATCAACAAGACAGCCAACTTTGTCAGGCAGAAAATGAGACAGGTATTATTAGGAAACAATTTTTACATGTCTTTCATAGCTCCTCTATAGCTTTTATTCTATTTTGTGGCAATTGTAGATTCTAAGGCAAAACAATAATTTCTTTGTTGCAGATTTCACAAACAGGAAGAAACATGTCATCAGGTAGCAGGTCCTCCAAGTCAGGCTCATCATCATCATCATCACCCAGGTCATCCAAGAAAACAACCAGGAGAAGAATCTGACAGCTGTCATTTCTCCTGGGTTTTTATCAAAATTATAACAAAAATCACCAAACGCACAAGAAGAAAAACATGTAAAGCCTCAGCTATCCATGTTCTGCAATTTCTTTGTTTTTATTCCATTGTGTATAGTTGGAACATTTAACTCTGCTACATGAAGGACTGATACAGATTGTAAAGTTGTCTTTCTGGCATTCTGGCTGGTACATTTCATATTACAATACCCGAATCTGGAAGTCACAGCTACCAGCCAACCACCTACTGCATAAGTCAAACCTGTCCATAGTGACCACTCAAGAGACTAAATGGTCACAAGAGACATTATTCTTAGACCTGATTTACACATAGGCAAAACCCAAAGTACAAAAACTGCATATTTACATAAGTGTTAGAAAGATGCATAAGTATAATGTTTCCTGCATGTAAAATGGCCTGGTATAACGTGTTAAAAACATGCATCAAAGCGGTACAGTTTTCATACACTCACATATGTACCTCGCTTGCATACCTCAGGTTTTTGACTGTGAGTAAATCGGGTCGTAATGCTTGGGTCAAAGGCAATAATAATACAAGTTCCACAATGGTCAGGTGGTCCTTATGCAAAGTTGGTCACTGGTATACAGGTTTCACTGTGTTCAGCAGCAAGGCTTATTTCCTGAATTGAAAGCAATAAATGTCACTATTTTTCCATTTGCTGTGCCACGTTTATTTGGGAGTTACTTTCTATTTGTTGCTGTTGAAGAGGATTCATATACGGAGCAGACATGATACAAACAACCCTTAACTAAAATGTCAAAAGCACATACAAATTCCTCATATACATGTACTGCTAAAAGACATAGATATCATGTTTTGAAAGTTCATCCGTTTTGGTAGATGTCATTATGAAGCAAGTTTGAACTGCAATTTCCAACACAAGAAATGGCCAGACTTTTGACTGCACCATTAAAGTCTTTTTCAAGGAATGAGCGATCCACTGCTTCTGTCATATTTGCTCACCGAGTCAAGTGTGTCATACAAGCTGTGGGTTGCTCATTTTGTATACAAATTGTAATGTGATGAAGACGAGTTATGCAGTAAAAGATTTGGGTATGTTCAATTTTTTTGTGCTGGAAATGACAGTTTCTTCACAATGACATCTTTGTGTTTTTTTTCTTCAGAATTTGGGTTTTAAATGAACAGGTAGTTGTAAATTGTAACAAAAAGTGTATGAGGATCGAGACAAACAAATGCTTCAACACGATCTTGACGTATCAAAATGTACAGTTAATTAACAGTCACCAATGTGAAGTCAGAAGACAATTATACCTTATGCACATTCATTAACCCTTTATCTCAAACCTTTTTAAAGGCTGATCAAATCTCCAAGCAGATGATGAAAGGCAAAATATCTTTTTCCACCTCCTTGGTTCGCAGTCTTGTAAATAAGTTGTAATAATGTCTAGAAATATGGAGTTATACAATTTTACCTTCTAATATCTGCTTGGAAACTTTTACATATTTCAAAACCAAGCTATCCTCAACAAAAAATATTATTCTGTCCCCTCCCATGTTTAGAATGTAATAGTCCAGGTCACTAAACATGCCAAAGGATATTTTATTCTAACAATGAACCTCCTTGACTCAATGAATTCATTTGTGATGCAGCACATTAACTATTGAAATGTCAATCCTAGCAAACAGTATTTCCCAGTGTGAACAAAATATATTCCATACAACGTCAAGAAAACATTGCTTGAACGGTTGACTTACCAACTTGATGAAACTACAATATTCACGGATGGAAGTGACACCTACCATAGTTACAAAGGAAATATTTTGGAAGTAAATTTAAATGTATTGTCCAATGTTCCTCATACACCATAGCTCCCATACACCTTAACTACCGGTAGCTGAAATCTAACCAACTAAGCAGAGTCTGTATATGTTGAGCTTTGCCCAATTGGCTCTGGTTACCATCAGAATACCCATTACATTTTACAATTGAGTCATAGTAAATTTTAGCAAAATCAGCTCCTGAAATACAGAACAGAGTCATATAAGACCACAGCAGTTTAATTTCTTTGTTATCAGATCCATTATTTCTGATTTTAAAAAAAAGGCTACTTGTACCTTTCAGGTACCACCTTTCCAACATTGTTTGTTTGCTCATGTAGTAACACAGTAAAAATAACAATTCAGTGAAATGTTAGCCATCCTAGTATGAAGGCTCCTGCGGAAGTATATGGTGTATCACAGAATACCTGTTATCCTTTTATTTTGCATGCCCCTTCCATTATTTAGATTCATGCAAAAATGCTGAGAGGCAAGAAATTCAATTGGTGTGGCCTGATATTTGTTATGGCAGCTATGGTGACTTTCTCCCTGCAAGAACATGACGAGCAGAAATCTTTGAAACCAAGCAGGGTAGCAGCCAACTTTATTCTTGAGTAGTGTAATCCTTCAAAATACACGGTACGGTAGTACATGTAGGGGTGGGCACCAGTCAAACTGTCAAGTCATTGGACCTCATGTTTAGCAGTATATCTTATGTATATAAGCCTAGTGCCCAGGCTATTATGGTTTGGTTGGTTGCAGCCTCTAATCACTCTAATTTGGGCCTGTAGACATTCCACGCCACCTAGTTGAACTAGGCTGGGAGCATCTACAGGCCGGAAGGGAGCCTGCCAAAACCATAATAGCCCGGAAACCAGGCTAGGTAGACACCGGTCAAGTTCTAAAGAGTTTTCAAGTTGCTGGGTTAGCTCCTGACCTGATTCACATACCTAGGGAAAACAACAAGACTGTTACAAAAATAGAAGGGTAGGGAACAAATTTTAATGCAGACTTGTTCCTGTACTTATAGTCTTTGTTTATTTTCAAAGGACCAGTTCTGTACACTGAAGTTTTTTTCCTACCAGTCAAAAGTGATTTTCCAGTCCAGGGTACTGGTACCCACCCCTATACTGTACTTTCTAGATCCTTTTAAGTATATGATAACCTAATTATAGTCCTAGCAAAGGCTTGTTGCCCAGAATCAAGTTGAACTTGCACTTGTTCCGTGTCTAACTCCTATATTGTTGCAGCTACTGCACTGATGTGACTGGCTCTGTAGACATTGTCATTGTAAAACCAGTCCCACCTGAAAAAGGCAAGAAGTACAAATTTTTCATTGACAGGTTGAAAAAATGTGAAGAGGAAAACACAAGTCTAGAAACTAGAGACTAAGTGTTGTTACCTACTAACTTTAAGTTAGCTAGTTACTAGTCATTTGATAAGTTAGCTATGAAAAACTTGCACTTTTCTCCAACTCAAAATTTGACTCACCAGAAATTTTCGACTGAATCACTCAGTCTTCCTCAGCTATCTGACCCAAATGCTGTGGACACGTGATAAGTTAGCTAGTTACTTGATTAACTAGTTTATTGATTAGTTAGGTAGTTACTTGATTTGTTACCTAGTTAATTGATTAGTTAGCTAAGTACTTACGTCATTGGGTGACATTTCTGGGCACCTGTAGTTATACAGGTAATACTGCAGGTTGCCGTCACCTATGCCGAACTTCAGCTGTTCCAAGAACTCTTTGTTCTGCATCAGGTCCAGCGCATTGAAAACATCAAAATCTCTCTGAAACATAGACATCATCATCAAAGTGGAGGAAAGCCTCTGGAGCTCACAATTCAAAGAACTGCAACAACACTACATGTGTATACCGGTATAAAACAGTAGGATAAAAAAGGTTTACATAGCTAGAGGTCCCGTGTTAGAGGAGACCCACACCCTGTGTGAGTGGTTCGAAGTTTGAACTTGAAGCCTGCCAGTCAAGTCTTACGTAGCTTGTACTCATTACATGCAAAACTGGTGTGTTCTGCCTCAAGGCGGTTTACCGGTTATGTGAAACAAACAGACCTGTTTAGCGAGGATGAGTGCGTCGTTCATGATGTCCAGTAGACTGTGCTTGGTGTGGACGTTGTAGAAGGAGTAGGCAGCCTTCAGCTGGCTGTACTGGGGATGGTGCATTATGGTGGAGGGGAGGGTGTAGAAACTGATGAAGTCTGTGATGGTCTTCTCTCCACCTGTCTCCTGTGAGAAAGAGTAACAATTAAAGTAAATTAAGGATCGACATCCAATGCAAGTTTATGACAGCAAAGCAAAATTCTGGAGGAGGAAGTCTGTCTGATATTGACATTTACTGCCATTTTCGTCATCATTTCATAATGTGTTTGACATAGCACCAAACAAGCAACATGCTTGGGGAGTCCCTTTTTTGGCTATTATCTATAAATAGCTATCCAGCCCACTGTTTCCAGTTTCTGTGAAAGGCTGCAACCAATTTTTTTCCACCCTTTTCAGTTTACTGTTCTTAACATTTCACTTGGTGTCGTGCCTTTCCATTCTCTGAAATATTTTCTGTGTTATTCTCTTAATCCTTCTAACGTTACAAGAAGAAGGTGTTAGGTTGACATCTTAGATGCTCACCTCCACAACAAAAGAGTCGATGATGCCTTCTCTGGGCAGGAACCAGTGTTCAAACTCCTCTACAGAGAAGACAGGAGACAACTTGAACTGCTTGAGGTGTTCTGAGAGGAGTGCGTGGACCTGGGGGATGTCTGACTTCACCATGGGCCTCAGGCCGGGAGTCTTCGGTTCCTATGTATAGAAATTAAAGACTACATGAAACCAATGAAAATTCAACACAACAGTTCCTGAAAATATATATATTAGGAATAATTCAATGAACAAAGAGGTTGATAACCCTAATTTAGGGTTTCTTGTCAATCTTAATTTAGGGTTTCTTGGTAACCCTAATTTAGGGTTTCTTGGTAACCCTAATTTAGGATTTCTTGATCACTCTAATTCAGGGTTTCTTGGTTACCCCACTGTAGGATTTCTTGGTAACCTTGATTTAGGGGTTTCTTGGTAACCTCAATCTATGCAAAACAAACAAACAAACAAGATACAAGCTTACATCTGGCAGCTTGTACAGCTTGATGGTTCTCTGCATGGTCATGTTACGACTCAGGTGGGAAAACTTCACTTCTATCAGCTTCTTGGGGTTCAGAGACCTGTGCCAGTATCTGTGGACACAAGGATATACAGGGCATACAAATTTCAAGTCAGGTATTTATAACTCTTCACGCCATGTCTATTTCAAATGACTGTCTAACATTTGTGGGTACAAAAACATACAGACATATTGCTACAACAGGAAAATTGAGCATCATGTTCTTTACGCCTCAGTGAGTGTAGCAGAGGAATTTGGACCCACCTACATTTTACCCCATCGGGTGTAGCAGGAAAATCAGAACCCTCTTCCATTTTGACCCAGTGGGTATAGCAGGAAAACTGTAGCTACTGACCTGTACTTTACTCCATTGGATGTAGCAGAAAAATTGGGTCCCACCTCCATTGTACCACAATGGGCGTAGCGGGAGAATTGGTACCCACCTGCATTTAGCCACCGGCCTGGGCAGCACCACCCCTGCCGTGTACACAGCTTGGAACAGCCCCTGCTGGTGAACCCGTCTGGTGATCTCTCGGATCAGGACCGGCGCTACGCGCTTAGATCGGAGCTTCTTGTGGACGCAAAGGAAGTTGATTTCTACCATCTTCTGTAGACTGTGGAGAGGGAGAAATAGAACCAAAAGCTCGATTAGATAAGGTCTCATGTGGCAGTTTTGCTGTAATATTGGATATAATGATAAAAGATGAGAATGGAGCCAGTTAAGGGAGGGGTTCCTCTGCAGGAGTGACAATACCCTGGATTGAGTGAGTGAGCGAGTGTGTGAATGAGTGAGATAAAATACTGTAAGCATCTTTTATGGCTGCATATCAAATAAAAACAAGATTTCCCTGAGGTCTACTTGCCTCCTATTCTAAGCACACTTCTTCTTTGGGGATGTACCCACCACAGTGATATTTATGGCATTCATAACTGCACTTGGCCACTATCCACAAGAAGCACATGCATATGCAGCTTCCATACAGTCAGGTTTTTGCCAGCATGTAAATTGGATTAATGCCTCTGATATTAAATCATATCAATACTTACTGGTCCTTTATTCTGATGGCGGCAGGCACTGCACTGATAAACCCCACCAGTTTCTTGTTGGAGACCACACGAACACCACAGTGCCACTGGAGTAGCCAGCCTGGGGGCTTTAACGCCCTGGAAAAACAAACAGAAATGGTATTGTGGTTTACCATAATAAAAAAAAAGGCCAATAAACAATACCTTAAAAATGAGGTAAAAATGTTTATAAAACTTAAAAAACGTATGAAAAAAAGGCTGGAGAACTCACCATGAGTTATATCTGAGAACACACGATAAAGAAATGACCGATAGACAATACCTTAAAAATGAGGTAAAAATGTTTGATAAACTTTGAAAATGTATGAGAAAAAGACTGGAGAACTCACCATAGCAGGAAAGCTTTGGAGTAGTCAAACCTGAACATGTTGTCATCATCCTCCACGTAGTTCTCATTCAGTAGAACATACAGCTCACTCAACTGGAGGGGAAAAACATTCACTTTCTTTGGTACAATATTGAGTAAGACATGGTCTAGTCTAACAAATTACTGTCGTTTATTCTTACTCATTACAAACGCATTCGTACCAGCCCCTACAACTTGCAACATAATATAGGGTTAATGACCCGCCCTGAGGTGAATACGGTGTCATAATTCATGGCCGGTTCCTATAACCACCGAATGAACGACCGAGTCCGCGGAGCGGACGAGGTCGTTTATGAGGTGGTTATAGGAACCGGCCATGAATTATGACACCGTATACACCGAAGGAAAGCGGGTCATTAACATTATTATCATATAGACATTGTCACATATGCATGTACATCAAGGGTCATCAAGCTGACACATAAGAGAAACAACTTCTGTGTAACATATAGATCTTTTATCTTGCATTGATGTGAATTCCCATCGCAGCAAACCAATTATTTAAAGCTGAAAGTTACAGATATGAACTAAATTTATCGGTGAAGTTTACCGCTGAATTTCGAATTCCTCAACTGTTTCTCCACCACTATTGTCCAAATCCATCTCTGCGGTTGCCCCAAACACTGCTTTTACTTCATCTGACGACACCTCAGCAGTTCTATCAAAACTAAATTAATTTACTACTCTACATAAATAAGTCTATCAGAAAGGTCTTTAGAATTAGAAGTAGGTTAGAAGAAAACACCACCTTGTCATGTAATGGTAGCGTCAGTTACGGACCCGCAGGTCCGTATATCGGATATTAATGACCTGGGTTATGGGGGAAATGGAGCCTTCTGATTGGTCGACGTCATCTGGCTATATGATAATGTAGGATAAACCACAAGGTATCTGCTACAGCATTAGTTACCATGGTGACAGCCATCTGGTGCAGGTCATTGACCTCATGCATTTGGAACAGAAGGAGATCGAGCAAATATAATATGTTTTTCTTCTGTAAAGTTAAACACAAATACCATGTCATTTCTCTTAAACCCATACAGGGACACATTAGCCAATACAAATCTGACTGATAAGACAGCCCTTAGCTGGGAGAAGGTTAAGTGACTGACCACATCAGGCTTGCTGATGTCCAGTGTGTCCCACTCGAACCCCTGAGGAAGACTGTACGGATCCTGTCGGACTTCTGACTGTGGTTTATCTGCTTCGATGGCACCATAGTCTCTCACCTCCTCTCCTGGGGGACAGAAACGCAACACAGGTCTTTGTACACAAGTAAGTAAAACAACCAATATACTAGACAAAGGGTTCTACCTACTACCTACCTAGTACCATGACCGACAATGGTCGTCAGAGGGACAAGGCAGACCTTGCAGCAGAAGTGGTGCCAGATTTTCCTATCTTGGGCTGCTAACCAGGGTTTTATTTGAGCCTAATGGTAATGGAGTGAAGCTACCAATGGGGGTGTGGGGGTGGGGGTGGTAAGGCACACAACACAGAAGGGGTTATTGCCTCTTCCATGTAAGGTAAAAAGTTGGCATTCTAAGGAGGAACTGGGAAAACACTAAACTCTTGTTTTTTATGAATTTCCTGTGATCTGTTGTAAAAGCAAGACATTTACTAATTCTGAACCCATAATATTGATGGGGAGATGAACAATTAGAGTCTACTTCTTCTTCGCAGCCTCACCTATCTTTGGTACAGGTTGAGTGTCCCAGAACTCATACTTCTTGTCTCTGGCCTCATCCACACTCTTGGGCTGCTGGTGGACTGATAACTGCTGCAGGGCTCGCTGCACTTCCTGTAACTTCTGCAAGGGAAAATTGTCCTGGAGAAACACCACAATTTCCATGGTTAACAAAGTTCTGTATAGACAACTATTCTAGTGTTTTGGTTGGACACACACAAACATACACACACATCAACCTATAGCTTTCCATCCATCCATCCATCCATCCATCCATCCATCCATCCATCCATCCATCCATCCATCAATCCATCCATCCATCCATCCATCCATCCAATATACCAACCCACCCACCAATTGTTTTATACCAAAGAAAACGGTATGGCTCAGAGTAAAATAAAATCATTTACAGACACATGTCCATAATAAACAGCAAGCCGGCCATACCTGCATGATGTTGCATCCATACAGTTGCACCCATTATAGTATACAGACCATATTAGTAGTACTTGAAATTTTTAAATATCTATACAAACTGTACTGACTGCAGTATTTACAGTGATTCTTACATCTGTTTTCTCTGCGTCACCTGCTGCTGCTGCAGATGAATCTCCTCCCTTCTTCTTCTTCCTCTTTTTGTTCTTCTTCTTGGTCACCATGCTGTCCAGGCTAACGCTGTCGGAACAACAAAAGTAAATATTATGCTTTCTCTGCATGCTCAGCACTTGTGAGAAAGGCAATGGTAGTTAAACACACACCACTATAGCTATCCGTGGACTAGCTACCTCTGGTAGTGATTGCAGGACTGTGTGGCACCAAGGGCAATAGAAATGGAGATTGGCACTGAAAACAGATGAAATCACAAGTTCTGTCACTGTCAGGTATGAAACTATAAAGTTCTGCTTAAAGTCTCCACATCAGTTTTAGATTGAGGAATTCTGTCATTATTATCTTGTTTTCCTTTTAATCCCCATGACATGATTTTAGTTTATCTTATTAAAATTATCTTAGTTCATTCTTTAATAAATTATAATGATTAGCATATGAATAACTTCTTCAGCTACAGTCCAACATATCCAGTGTTACAGTGAATCATAGGCGTGGGAGGAAAAATCTGTCCACACCTACATGTACCATTTAAGAAACAGAAATTTTATGGGAAAGACAAATTTGTGAATTCTACCCTATAACAATTATTCTTTTCGATCGTTATGGGAAAAAAGTGACATGTATGTGCTAGTGTTTTGTGGCGCTTGCGATAAAAATACAGACACATTTTTCCGCATCCACATAAATCGAAAGTAGTACTAATTTTTTCTGGTCCTCTGAGAATGGAACGAACATGCATGTCATGTGGGGTGTCAGCTCGTAAACCCCGCCTGTCAGTCAATTCTCAAAGGAGAACGGCGACAGAAATAAGACGCAATGCTTCCTTAAGACCATACCTTGTTCCTGGCTTAGGTTCATGATCGTGTTGTCCATCTAAGACGACCAAATCGTCCGTTTTGTCTTCTTCCTTCATCTCCGCAGCACGATCTTCCGCCATGTTGAAGAAAGCGCTGAATTGATAGCTGTTCATGTACAAACATAAAACTGCCTTACTTACAAGGGGCATTTTGTTGAATTAAAAACGCAAACTTGCCATAAATAGTATTTAAATAAGACAATATTTAAATGTAATAGTTTATCTGGCTGTACCATCTTCAGATTTCATACTTTGTTTGCTAAACTGCTGATTTAAGGAATATGATTTTACAGGCAGTAAGAGTAACACCCTTGACTCCTAAAATGAAATCTCGTTGTCTATTCTCGCGAGAATGAAACGTTTGTCTACTGCGGCGATCTACTGCGCAACTTTGTCTCTTGACAACGGGAAGAAAAGTTACCTCTGAGTCTACCTCAGGTTTTTCACGATTTTCTACGTTTTTTTGACGGATTCTGAGATTTTTAGGGACCAAGAATGGCGCACATCGTCGCCAAGAAGGCGCTGGCAAAGCTGGCTGAGACCTGCTATCGACAAACACACTGTAAGTCCAGTTATACCTAGTTGTTTACGTTGACAACCGAGCATTTCCTACTATGATTAGGGTCTTAGTGCATGTTGTTATATGTAACTTTTCAGATGATATTGGCTTCTACCGCACAGAAGTTCCAAACTTAAGTTTAAGTCATATTATCTAAGTCCAACATGACTTACTGCTCATCCCAACATCTGCTTGGAGATTACTTTATGTTGACAAGAGAAACGAAAGTCTTGAAGTATAAGACTACATTACTGTTATGAGGTTAATTCTACACAACAGGTATGTTTATATCATATGCCAGCCTTAAGGACTAGCATACAATCTGAACATATGTTCTTGATATACGTTAATTTAAGCAGGCAGTTTTCGTACAGTTTTCGACTGTTAGGTTTTTGCCCAGGTCTTTGTTGTTGCAAGGAGTTATTTGTTTTCGCATAACTGGTAAACCACCTTTAAGCGTAACACACCAGTTTTGAACATGTACGTACATGTACAAGTTGTTATGTGTTATCAAAGACATTCCTTAGTGTTATACATGATTTCTGTACTTGTCTCCTCCCAGTTACGAAGCAGGAGGTGGAGGGTTTACTGCACGTGTTCCGGGACCTGCAGACCAGTAAGAAGGGGAAGGATGAGATGAAGATGGACCGCGCCACTTTCCGGGAGGTGCTGCACTACACCTTCGCTATGACAGACGACATCCTCATGGACAGAGGTCAGTTTTTAATGGTGACATCTCAGGGTTCAGGGCAGAAGACTTTAAAGGAATTGGCACTCCGCCGCTTCTGTGACCTCACGTTTTTGCTACTTAGGTTCAGTTCATGTGGTCTCCTTAGGAGGTGCCCCTAAGGATGTCACTTCAGACACTTGTTCCTTCATCCCAAGGGAATAAAGCATTGTTTTTGGCTTGTCTGTATATGTGTGACTGTGTGTACATGCATATGTTCTTGTGTGTCTCTTTGTTTGTTTGTATGTGCCTGTGTGTGTGTTTGTATGTTTGTGTCTGTATACTTCTCTAATTCCCATTCTGACACAGCATTGCCGTAAATTCTTAATGCTGCTATTTACATTTGTGGGACTGGGTCTGATATCTTGACTCCGGAGTGTGGATAAGGGGGTGAAGTCTGCCATCTCTGATTGCCTTGTTGTTCTTTATTTTTTTTCTGCAGTATTCCGTGCCTTTGACCAGGACAACGACAGCTACGTGAGTGCCCAGGAGTGGGTACAGGGTCTGTCTGTGTTCCTCAGGGGAACCATGGAGGAGAAAATGAAATGTAAGCTACAATTCTGGACAAAACTAGACAGATCTGGTGTGTTTTCCATCTTCTAAATGGTTGTAGTCACTTGAAACAGTTGATGCCATATTGCTGTCTGCTTGATGCCATATTTGAACATATCCCAACTTTTTTGAGAGGCAAAACATTTAAAATGTGTAAGTAGCAACATTTCATTTGCATTTAAACTTTCAAATTATACAATGTACTTCTGAATAGTCTTCCTACCTGAAACTACTATGTAATACATCAACTTTTACTTGTTTTTGAACAGATTGTTTTGAGGTGTATGATCTAAACTCAGACGGCTACATCTCCAGAGAAGAGATGTTCTCTATGCTGAAGAACACACTCGCTAAACAGCCCACAGAGGAGGACCCTGATGAAGGCATCAAGGATCTGGTAGAGATCACCCTGAAGAAAATGGTATGACCCAACTGCAGATTGTTTGTGGTAGTGTTGGAGATGACTAGGGCTATTCCACTAAAGATTTGGGGGCAACTCAGATTACTAACATAATTTGATAAGTCGTGATCTAAAACATGTGCTATTCTTCACTTTTCAGTAAGTTATGACATTTTAATTGCCCCAAAAAAACATACACAAGCACAAATAATCTAGCAATGGGTTAAAGATCATTCAAACTGTAATTTTCAACAACACTTACCCAACTTTTCGGCTGTTCTAATGCTGGATTCCCGGTCAAGGAATTAGCACACCACTGCAAGATTGGTGACGTCAAGATTTTCAGATAGAACATGTGGGTTGGTAAGCAGTGGGTCATGAGATCTGAGAAGCAGAAAGCCTTTATTGAACTAAGAAGTTGGTATTCACCAACACAGTGGGATTTCCATGCTTCCCTACATTGTTTTACTTTTCCCGCCCTCCCCAGGACCATGACCATGACAGCAGACTGTCCTACTCTGACTACAAGACTTCGGTTGAAACAGAGCCTCTTCTGCTGGAGGTGTTCGGACCCTGTCTCCCAGCTGCTAAGGTAAGACTTAAATCTTCAAGATAACTATATCTTCATCAGTGTTGGTAGAAATTTCTTTATGAAACACAGCCAAGAAGGGGGTCAACTGAACTCTTTTTGCTCTTCTTCTCCAAACAAATAAGGTCAATGACCAGATGGCTGTAACCATGGTAACTGGTGCTGTAGCAGACACCCTGGTGGTGCTACGTTACATTATGTAGCAAGTGGCAGGACAGTTTGAGGGGGTGGTCACCAAATGTTACAGAGCAGTAATTTGTGAGATGAGACCATGTGAAGGTATTATGCAGTTGCTTTGCAAATGTAACCTTCTAGTAGTTTTTTAAAGTCTTTCCTCACCAGTATTGTTAACTAATGTTTCTTTCCTCTTCTAATTTCAGCAAGTCCATGCCTTCACAGCAACCTTTTCTGACACTTGTACAGAATGGTACTGACCACAGACATGGATGGACACACAACAACTTTGGGGACCAAAAACAGTTTATACTTTCCCAAGAAGTGTAGAAATGTTTAAAAAGTATATATTACTGGTAAAAGGTGCAGTGTGATTTTACAATGGAGTACATCTGTTACCTCTACTTAAGTGCACTGTACTAAAAATTGTGTCAAAAGTGCTGTGATACACACAAAACCAAAATAATCATTTTATGAGTGATTTTTATTGCATTCAATGGAAGAGGAAACAAGTTAAGCAATGTTTTCATTGAATACAAGCAGTATGTCAGCATTTATAGCAAGCAGTTTAAGAAAAATGAGATTTGTTAAGAAAAATATATTGGGTGTTCCTTAGAAATAACCTTGTACATTTGCATATTTCTAAGGCAAGAAATTTTTTGACATTTAAAATTCTATCAATGACTTCTCTGTTCATGAAGTCAGACTGTACATATGTTTGCATAGACTGCTCAGGAGTCCTATTTTGAATAAATATTTGTGGTTGACGGTTAACTTAGAAGAAAATGTGTTTGTCTTCTTTTTTATGATACCTTAAATATGTGTTTCGTGTTTTATTTTTAAAAAATCAGTTGACATGAAACCCTTCATAAAATGTAGATATAGACTAAAATGGATATAACAGATAAAAAAAGAAAATGTACAGTGTTGATGAGATATTATAAAATGCAGGGTTTCACCACTGCTACCATTTTGTAACTGGATTCTCCACAAAGTTTTCATATTCCTCTCGTTTGAAGAAAGAAATTTCAGTCTCGTTCTCTGTGAAAGAAAAGGGAGAGAAATTACACTCGAGTCAAAGGCATTTTTATGAAAGGTATAAAGATTATAGATGCAAGGAATATGGAAAGTCAATACTTACCAGAAATTCTAAGCATGTTAAAAATCCCATTACACTTATCAAAAAGAATAGGGGTTCATCCCTGTGTGAGTGGTTCAAACCTTACAGTCTTACACAGCTTGTACTTACTGTACAAAACTGGTGACAAAGCAAAAGTCAGTGCTAGTGTAGTCAGCATGCCCCTACCTACTCCACTCTCCCTCAGTGTGGCACCAGACTTCAGCATGAGCTTCTCATCATCTCCTGTGTTGATCACTGGGTTGTTGGTCTGTCAATAAAAAATACTGACAGTCTTTGATGCATTGATAAAGGTTAGACATTCAGATGGAACATCACATATTAAATACAAAATAAACTAAGTAGAAACTTTAGGGTGTCATTTTCAAAGCAAATGCATGATTGCATTCACATGGGGATGGTCGAGCTATAGCCTATCAAACTATAGCTCTGTTTATTCTTACTCTTACACATTATTAGATAGTATGTGGGGGTGTTACCTTGTTACAATGGGCTTTGAACTCCAACTTCAATGTATCTGTAAACAAATGACAATTTGACAGCTAAGTGGAGGTACCTACTCTGCATGATTTTTATTAGCACAATGTTAAACATGGATACATTGTATCAAGAAATTCACTAAAATATCAGGAAGTTTTTGAAAAATGATGGCACTCATGCCTTGGCAGTTGGGACTTGTTTTTTTTTGTTGTTCTGACTACAGACTTACCATATGCATGTTTTCTAAATGGTGGTGGCAGCCCTGGTCTTGTCTGGATGTCTGAAAACATGCATGAATTAACATCAAACATTGATTACCAGTTACTCATCCAGATATATGTTCGACATCATCTTTATTACATACACTACATACACGAATACAAAAGAACATCTCAAAGAAGTCATTACCCAAGCCTTACACAAGAACAACTTAATTTTTGCGTTGCGGCCTGCCTGAATTTACCATCAAGTCTTGTCGGCCCTCCTAAATTTATCGTTAAGCATTGCCACGATCCCCCTTAGACAGACCCTCTCGCAGCAAAACCTAGCTTGGAGTCCAGGCTTGTTATAGATTTAGTCAGCTTCCCAAGATCCGATACCCAGCCAACAAGACTGGTACCAGATCTTGACTCCAGGCTAAGCAAAACCAAGAACAAGAAGAAACTCACCTTTCCTGACCATGTCCATGAAGTTGTCAACAGTCATGTCCGGGTGGACCTTGTGAAACACGACGTTCTTCAGGTTCTTGTGTTGGAAGGATCGGATCAGACGAACGGTGACGGTCAGGCCCTCCATATGATCCTCAGTCGCCATGGTGATTTAGAAGTTACAGTAGAACTGTTGTCATCTCATGACTCACAGACTTGTAGATTTCTAGATGTATTTTTTTGCATTTGTAAAATCCTTGATTACCTAAAATTCCAAGAAGGTTATGTGTGTGTGTGTCTGTCTGTCAGTCTTTGGTATGGTACAATAATAACATTTTTAATAAGGAAATAGTTACAAACTGATCTTCGGGCAGATAAATAAATCTGTGGAAAACTACAATTAAGAAAATCCCTGGAAAGAGATAAAATATCCAAAGCATCATTCTATTTCTAAGACAAAGCGCCCCCCCTCCCCAAGTACCTTTGATACCTCGAACTCTTCGACAAGCATGCCGTTGTGTGTGTGACGTAGGATGCTCAGACGTAATACTTACGTTGCCTCTATGTTGTATATAACAAAATACACCAGGTGATGACCGTAATATCAAATCTTACCTGCTTCTAGAAGCTGTTCACTACATGTACCGGTGGGGGCAAGCTTGTCTCCTCCGGAAGTAGCTAACACATGCTGCACTTTATAACTAAATTAACAGAGGGCGCTGAAGAACGGTTTGTAAATTACATCAGCCCGACGTCATATACGGACGGGTACATTCACAAAGAGGTAACTTTACTTGTTGAAAGACAAATATACTAGTATTATGACATTAAGAAATAGAGGTTAGTATTTATCTAATTGTTATGAATTAAATTCTGACATGCAATAATTTGGTATTATTGCTGTTAAGTAATAAATATAGATCTTGCCAATCCTGAATGACGTTTGAAAGAAAATATTTAGGAACATGGATACCCTACAGCTGAATGGAATATGCCAATCGCTAAACTATAGTTTCAAACATGGCGGAGTGAAAGAGGGAGACGTATTTTGAACGAACTTTTGGACAGATTTTCCTAAAACCGTTGAGTTTTGGGGACCTACATACCCTTCTGGACGACCTCAAAGAGATCCTCTGTCTACCGAACTCGTATAAGCAGTTGGGATTCACCGTTCGGGCGCGAAAATTCCAACTAAATTTGTGACGACCACGAGGAAAACAAAACCTCAAAATGGCCGACGAACTACAGAAGTTGGAGCATCTTTCCCTGGTGTCTAAGATCTGTACGGAGTTAGACAACCATTTAGGGATCAACGACAAGGATCTCGGTAAGTCTTAAAACCATATATGTTACGTTTGATACTTGATAGCGTTTAGATAGCAGAGATCTAGGACATCTGAGAAACTAAATGCCAAACGCTTACTACTGCTGAGTCCCATTTTACTGGGTTATAAATTGCGTATGTGTTAGTAACAAAATTATGATCCGCGTATCCGGAACATATAAACATAGGGAAAGAAAAGGATACTGAACATGGAGAGAACATAAATAACTGATTTTGTGTGTGCAAAGGACAGGACACGGGAAATCAGTGTGTTAAAGTAATCCACACTTGATTGTTTTGCATGTTATGTTACGTGTCTTTTTCTTACTCTTAGTCCCCTTTTTTGGCGAAGCCTTTGGGGTGGAACTTTTTATTTCTAGGAATTCCATGAGTTTAAACTTTAAAGTCCGCGCATGACTGATACTAGTCACTTTTCCAGTTTTACATCAGGGGCGACATCTAGGGATTAAGATCAGACCTGCAGTACTGGGTCGACCATAATGTATTTGCTGGGAGGTTTTAGCTGCCTCTTGTTTGCCATGTAAGATTATATTGCAGGGGGGGAAATGATAATATCCCATCATCCTTTGCAATACACATCCCACAACACGTGTCCCAGATGGCTGACTTGAATTATCAAAGGACTCAAGTAGTGTATGAGGCTATCTGACTTTTGTAACTTATGTACAACTTCTTACATTGTGTCTTAAACATTTATGCAAAATTTGCTTCAAAAATGGTGCTCAAACTTCACCAAACTAAAGTGCTTTTCTACAAACTCTGTTGATTGGTGATATTATACATCTTGTGCATCAGAAAACCCCAAATGCACCAAAAAGCACCCATGGGAAACAGAAGAAAATATTATATTTGATATGATTTATGTAATAATCATCAACAAATGCAATTTTCTTCCGTTTCCCATGGGTGCTTTTTGGTGCATTTGGGGTTTTCTGATGCACAAGATGTATAATATCACCAATCAACAGAGTTTGTAGAAAAGCACTTTAGTTTGGTGAAGTTTGAGCACCATTTTTGAAGCAAATTTTGCATAAATGTTTAAGACACAATGTAAGAAGTTGTACATAAGTTACAAAAGTCAGATAGCCTCATACACTACTTGAGTCCTTTGATAATTCAAAGAACCAAAAATTACTGGTCAAATTGTTGCCATTGCTGCACTTTTAAAGGAAACATGACAAGACTATATGCCTGGTGCTGACAGTCAGCCATCTGGGACACGTGTTGTGGGATGTGTATTGCAAAGGATGATGGGATAGTATCATTTCCCCCCCTGATTATATTGTAAAAAGCCTACATATCCAGCACTTTAGTCACCAGCATTTTAGTCTATACTATGTAGTGTATAAAACTAGAAGAAGAATGATGTAGATGTAGACAAATTAACATATGTTCTTCTGAACTTATTGACTAATGATAGAAACAAGATGAACTTGACAGAATCTTTATTCAAATAAAACAGGACAAAACTAGTAGGCAGAGCCTTAGGGTATGTCATGAACTCATAATCACTGAGTACTGAACAGGTGTTCTAAATAGTACTACTACATATCTGGCTCTACTGACTTAGTTTTAAACCACATTCAAATCAAAACAGGTACAAATATTACCAATAACTTTACAGCCAAAACTTAAAACAGATATACCTTGTATTGCTTTTCCTGACTACTTTTATCAGTGCTCATTACATTCATTTTGCTACATACACATTTTCTAAACACACGTCATTCTAACATACCTACTGAACCACAACTGAGCAAATACACCCCAAGATTCTGATTTTCCTTTAGTAAGATCTTGGGTGAGTCATTTCATATGCTTATGCAGCAGTTCAATCATCCTATCTCTATTGGCTCCAGACATCTCATCAACCTGCAAATCAACAAAAATAAGTTTTAAAAAATGTTCCAAGCACAAGGGTATAAAATGCTTGTCTTATCTTATTCATCCAGAGTGAGAGTGAGTGAGATTCAATGTCAAATTTCATTGATTCTTTGATCATATCCAGGAAGGCCTATGCCATTGAGCCCCTAGCCTAATTTTTCAAGTCTGCAAAATTGCACATGCACGTTGCTTAATTTTACTTCTGCAATATTTAAAAAGTGTCTGCAGAATGCAGATGCATATTTCTAAAGAGGTGAATAGAGGTCCCAGTTTACCTTTTTTCCGTCTTTGTAGAAATGGATCATGGGCATGACGGTGATTTTACAGTATGCAGAAACGTCCTGTATCAATGCACAATCACGGACAAGATGTAGACAGGTAGTACTCTAAGTACTACATGTACCAAACACCTACCCGGTATACCTGTAAAATTATTTACATAGATACAAAGGGCTCGAAATACCACCCGAATATAATGTAGGTAAAATTGGAGCCATACAGGTATTTCTGATGTCTTCCTGCAACTATGTAACCTGCACCGGTTCATGTACTGCGTACTGGGTATATATCTACATACGTAACCATTCTACAGCGTTAAAAAATTGAGTTTGATTTAAGCCCTGTACGTATACTAACCTCAGCCTCATCCACATCCACCTTCACAAACTTGACATCCTTGTACTCGGGCAGGGTAGAAGCTCTCTAAAGAAAACACAAACATGGTGGTGAAGAACATTGGCTATAACAAGAACATTCAGAACAGTCTGATTGTCCATATTCACGACCTATCTGTTAAACAAGCAGTACCAGTGATAGAAACACAACACGCATCGTCATAGATGAGGGCCTGAATGGGGGGAGGGTAGTGGTTATGAATTACGCAAAATTTTCGCCGCCGATTATGTATTACGTTAAAGTCTCAGAGCTGATTACAACCTTATACTTTGCAGCTACTATTGCAAATTATGTTGAATTTTGGGGAGGCTGCCTATGGATTACAAAGACTAAAAAGGCCTGATTACACCTTACGAAAAAGAGCATGCAGGTCCCCATAGAATGTTAAGATCCGTACATACCCAACTGGCAGGCCTGTACACGGCTGTAGTAGAAATCATGTCATTTTAATTGCCTCACCTCATACTCAGGTCCCAGCATCTTGCAAGGTCCACACCATGTGGCAGTGAAGTACACAAGAAGGAGCAAGGACTGGTTTTCGATCAGGACCGTTTGAAACTCAGGCTGCAAAAGTTACATCTCAGGATAAGGTCTCATATGCCAGTTTTGCTGTGCCATTGGAAATAACTTTTCATAAAGCATGGCTGCATATCCAATTTAAAAATACTTTGACTGTAATTGGCCTTACGGAATAAACCGCTGCACCTCTCTTGCCCGCATCACTCAGTCTGCCATTAGCAATCAAACCCACATAAACATACATGTACATATAAACCCAGTACATGGACCAGTGCAGGTTAGGTACAGGTAGACATCAGAAATACCTCCAGATTGGGGGTCCAATTTTACCTGCACTAACCTGCATATGCAGGTGGTATTTCAAGCCCTGTTACTTCATTCTGGCAACTCAGAAATGTCAAGTACATGTACAACCAGTCTGACAATTTACCACATGCATGAAAGCATGCCGTGACTCTGCTCATTTTGTCTACATTGTTATGCACAGTAGACACAGGGGTCTGTGGTGTAATAGCTGCCTGAGGGGGTTTGACTGGCCCAAAACTCAGAGGTTCTCAGGTCAAATCTGGTTTTATCACCCATCTTGTGTGGGAAAAGGCACTTTGGATGACTTTCCTCACTTAAGCCAGGTATAAAATGGGTTCCTGACTTCAGTTGGACAGGTAAAAGCTAGTGGAAGGAGAGGGATGTGCTCCACCATCCAATACTATGCCCTTGACACAGAAGATTAACAAATAACAACCCACTGCCCAGGTTGGCCTCAAAAAGGCCATGGGACTACACAAACATGTACATGTACTTTCACCTTGGCTTTACCTTTTATGCAGGTACTAGTAGAAGGTCACAAAACTACTTCAGCAAGAGCAACACAAAATTATTTATCAGACATATAGAATCTTTAACCATCATTGCATTTTTTCAATTCCAGGTTGGCGATTTTACGCTACTTGTAGATGTTTTTAAAAGTTGCATTTCTGCTGTAAACGTTCATGGCAACTGTGCTTTTGCAACTAAATATCTTTAAAAAGTGTCACTTACCAGGTCTTGAATCTCATGCACCATTTTGAAGGTTAGTTTGGACAAGTTTGGGTAGGAAGTCAATGATCTCGTGTGCAGGTAACTTGTTGCCCCAAGCCAAAGAATGCTGCCCTTTTATGCACAGGTCACGGATCATAGGTCTTGAAGCGCCAAGGTCAATGGACTGTTCCATTACATGTGTATGCTTTTTTTGCCAGTATATCGACCTTCTTTTAACTGGGACGGGGAGTGGGGGGGTCAGTACCAACTTCAGACGAACTTTGACCCAGTGCTGACCTCACTTTAAAAATATGATACTAGTAGATAAATTACATGTATGCAGGGACTCATAATGAAAACACGGCAAACAATAAAAAGGTACAGCATAGTCTATTAATTCCTGAAGCTAACCAATGCCTTTCACACCGCAGTCGTCCCTCAGTAAGACATCTGGAGCCACATAGTTTCTGTTAGTAAACTGTAAAGTTGACGGGGCTTATGCATGGTGTGCAAGTTACATAGCAAACAAGAAAAAGGTACAGCATATTAGTGGTTAATAAGTGTACATTGTTTTGGATGGACAAAAATGTTTGTGACATTTTCTTTGTACAGCGGAGTTCATCATCGACATAGCAGAAAAGAACAAAACAGAAGATGCCTTCAAGAAAGCTCTGTCGGAAAACGGAGGGGAATTTCCTGTGAGTTAAACTCTTTGTTTTCTCAGTAAGACATGATTTTGCCACACTTTTAGCATGTTCATGTACATATAATATATAGATAAACACTTGTCTCTGACTTATGTCATGGAAGCTGTGCTGTATATGATGAGCGATCCCTGTTTTGTTTACATCAATTATTGGTAGGCATATGCAAATTGAGTCAACCAACTACCACCTGCTTTTTGCCTACCACTCACTAGCCCATCAGGTCATGGTGATCGCTCTTTTTGAAACAACAGAAAATGTTTAATATTTGTTCTTTAAATTGGGAAAACCCAATTGGCACACATACATTACTGCAAGTTAAAGGAATTTTTTAAGAGTTTGGTGCCTAAGGCATGTTACTTGACAAAAGTGATCATAAATGGTGCCTGTTATATAATCAGACTTGTTTCATGTTAACTGTACTAACATACATGTTGTTTCATGACTTCCCCAGGAATCCTTTGCCTCAAACTTACTTCGAATTATCCAGACCATGAAGCCAAGTGCCAGACCAAAGGGCGATGGTGAGAAATCTTTTAGTTCATCTGCCCAATACTGGGAACAGGTATCTGTGTCTGTATAGCTGGTACAACCGCCCTTTGGCGTAACACACCAGCTTCGCAGGCATGCGGCGCAGCAGCAGCTGGCTACATTACACCGAACGACTTGTTACACCTCAACCTTGAACATCTAACTCTAAACATTGTTTAAACCTATCTAATGATAATGCCCCTACTGTACATGTACTTGGTGACAGAAGTTCCACTCTGCAATACTTTTCTCTCAGAATTTTTGAACACCTCAATCCATGGTTGATAAGTCTGGTGTTCTGCAGAGTGCATGCTGCAAGAAGAACCCTCAGCAATTTTTGTCGCAATATACTTGTAAACTTTGTCTGTACCTCACACCTGTGTTGATAGTTGTGATACCGTATCATAAGTATCATAATTCATATTTCAAACATGGATGAACGTCATCTAACGACTTTTGGATTATTTCAGATGGTAGTGTGAAGAAAAAGAAGAAGAAGCCCAAGACGAAACTTGAGGAGAAGAAGGAGTTGTTTCCCTTCCTGGCAATGAAGGATGAACCAGCTCCTCAGGTACAGATATTTTTGTGTCAATGTTTTACAAGACTTTGTTTCCTCTGCGATGCTTCTGTATCATCTATTTGTCTGTTTGTTTATCAAAGAACACTGTATCTTATTTACATTAGGTATAATATATATTGAAGATTATTCAATTGACAGTTTGAGTTTTAATGTTGCCTGTAATGTTTTCCTGACAGAAACTTCTGGATGACGAGGCAGTTGCAGCCAGCGCCATGGATGAACTAGAGGCTCTGCTTGGGAAGGCTAAAGATACAGAACAGTAAGACTTGTATAGACCAAATTTATTTTGTAGTAATCATCCTACAAATTGTCAATTTATTAAAGTCTGACTGAGTTAGTTAGATACTGGACTGGATCAAATTCTAGGTGATGCAGTTTTTTTTTTCTCTTGGAGCATTTTTCTGTCATGTCATGTTTTACAAAAGTTTGACAGTGTACATATCATCTTTGTGTACGTACAATTGTAATCCTGATATGCTGTGTAGTGATATAGTGGACTCTTTTGATGGTCTATATGTTTGTCTCTCTTCAGATGTTTAACACGTTTTGTCAAGGTCATATGTTCAGGAAGTTCAGGAATCTATAATTCTTTGTTTTTTCTTTAGAGTCAAAACTGAAGATAGAAGGGAGAAAGACAGAGACAAAAGGAGACGCCACAGCAGAAGTAGGAGCAGAAGCAGGGAGAGGAAGAAAGATCGCAAACGTCACCGGTCGCGCTCTCGCAGTCGAGAACGGGACCGGAGACGGAGACATTCCCGATCGCGCAGCAGGGACAGGGACAGGCACGACAGGAGGAGGGACAGGGAGGAGAAACCTCGGGAGAAGGAGAGATACCGGGAGAGAGAGAGGGATAGAGACAGGGACAAGGGGACGAGTGACAAGTTTGTCAGTAAGTCTGCATGATGTAATAAAAAAGTTTGTGTGAAAAGTTGGGCCTTTTCTGAATTTGAGGAGTGTTAACACTAGACTGTATTTATGTTGCTCACAGTATTCTTACATAGTCTCACGTTTTAAACTAATATATCATTGTAATTTAATGTTTGTTTGTTTATTCCCAGCCCATGCGCCCCCGGCAGAGCCTGTTGTGGGACATATCTATAACGGGAAGATCACCAACATCATGCAGTTTGGCTGTTTTGTACAGCTGGAGGGATTGCGCAAGAGGTGGGAGGGACTGGTCCATGTTTCAGAGGTAGGCACCATCATTTTTGAATGATTCTCCTTTTCTATAATATATTTGATTCACTCCTATTTTCTTAGACACATTTAGTCTTTTGACAGTTGACAGTTTGTCATTGAGTTGAAACACAGCAGGGCCAGAGTCATAATAACTTGGCAATGTTTGTTTGACTCAGTCTTGATTTTTATCTGCTTCAGAAACAAAAAGTTTTTTTGTAAAACAGTGAAATGCTTGTAATACATGTGATAATGCTACATGTAGCTGAAGTTCCCCAGATAGTGAAACTTTTGATAATTTTATATAACCTGTATTTTTTCTTCTTGATAGCTCCGGAGAGAGGGCAGGGTGTCCAACGTTGGTGATGTGGTGGTCAAGGGTCAGAGGGTAAAGGTCAAGGTCCTGTCCTTCACAGGCACCAAGACCAGCCTGTCCATGAAGGTATGCATCGCCAGTGAACTTGAACCTATATAATGTTACATATAATATCTATACATACAGATAAACATTTACCTTCACATGCCATGATGGTCTAGCCTAATAAACTACTGCTCTGTTTATTCTTATTAATTGCAAACACATTCACAAGCAACTTGCAACATAATGTAAACCAACACCGCAGAGTGTCTGCTACAGCACCAGTTACCATGGTGACAGACGTCTGGTCCAGGTCATTGACCTTATGTGTTAGAAGTAGAAGAAGAGAGCAAAAACAATGTGTTTTTCTTGTGTGAAGGTAAACATACCATAATAAAATCTGCCCCTTTTTCCCCCCAGGATGTAGACCAGGACTCAGGAGAGGACCTAAACCCCAGCCGGATCCGTGGGGGGGTCGGGGGCGAGGTGTCAGACGACGTGGGTGCCAGGAACCCAGACCGTCCGTCCAACCTGCCGCTCATCTCCGTACCAGAGGAGGAGAACCAGGGACCTGTCAAGAAGGTCCAGCGGATCTCATCGCCGGAGAAGTGGGAGCTCAAACAGGTGTTTATTTAACCCTTAGCTGGCTACCTGGTGCTGACTAATCTTAGGATCTTGGGATCTTAGTGTGTTAATTGTTAATACAGCAGAGAAATGGGAGCTCAAACAGCTGTTTGTTTAACCTTAAGCTGGCTACCAGGGCTGTGTATGAATTGGGATCTTAGTATATTAATATTTAAAGGTTAAAACAGCTTTTTTGGGGGATTTCAAAACATATTTATCTAACCCTTAGCCGGCTTCTGGTACTGTATAGCATCAAAATCATAACAATGTATTTTCATGTTAGCAAGGTTAGAACACAGGCAGGCTGGGAGGAAGTGACAGTGGAATATGCACAGAATCAGCAAGAAATTCACCGTAATGTATAAAACAAGAAATTCACAACTTTATAAATACTTCATAGATGTGGACAGTATATGTATTTTATTTCATGTTTCCAGATGGCAGCAGCGAATGTGCTGAACCCGTGTGACCTGCCGGACTTTGATGAAGACACGGGCGTCCTGCCGAAAGACGACGACTCTGATGAAGACATCGAGATCGAGATGAAGGAAGAGGAGCCGGCGTTCTTACAGGGGCGCACCAAACAGAGCATGGACCTCAGTCCTGTCAGGATTGTCAAGGTGGGTTAGGAACACTGTAGATCTGTTTTTTTTGTAGTAGTTTGTCCAATATCAGTGTTTATGAGACAGATTTGGCAAAGTTTTCTTGGTCCCAAGATTGTACGCCAGAGCGTGTCAGCAGAAAGTACTGCAAAAAAAATTCAGTGTTTTGTGCAGACAAAGTACATTCTGCCAACATGCTAAAAAGGGATTTTATCTACATTGACGGTTTATTCAGGAAAAGTCTTTTATGTTGTGATCAAACACAAGATAACCACTAACAAATTTTTATTTGATCCAACAGCCTTCTTCCAAAAGTATGACCCACTCACACATGGTCTTATGGACACAAGATGTGACTAATTATTGTTACTTTATCAAGTACAGCACAAGACTGTATGTTTAAAACATTGTTGTGTTTTCCCCAGAACCCTGACGGCTCCCTTGCGCAGGCCGCCATGATGCAGAGCGCGTTGTCGAAAGAACGGCGGGAAGTGAAGGCACAACAACGACAGGCGGAGGAGGACTCCATCCCAGCAGACCTCAACAAGCACTGGGTCGACCCCATGCCAGATGGTACGCATTCATCATTTAAATTTTAATTCATTCATTCACTTATTTACTTGTTTCTTTGTTCAACTTCAATCATTCATTTAACCATAGCCTTCAGTTTCAGTTTATTGCGATACCCTTTAGCCCGTTAGGGCTAATCTTCCAGGGCTCAATACACATTATTACACATTACACACAGAGTACAATATACACATATGACTACAAATTTACATACACCTGATTTCATCCACCATGGACTCTTTATATACTCCCCCTTTATCCACTTGGTTTACAGTCAATCCTGTACTAGTGACCATCTCATTTGGCCACTTATAATTTTTCCCACTAACTGAAGTCCTGTCCATAGTGGCCACCTGTGGCCCACCGTCTGTAACCATTCTCTTTCTTTGTGTCCCTTGTGTGCTCACTATAAACAGGTTTGGCTGTACCCCAAAAGGAATTTACCTTTGGTCTTTGCCAGCTTAATCCATTGCAATATTTATTGTGCAGGATTTCCATACAGTATATCATACTTTGCTCTCCTCCCCAGTTGAAGGCAGACAGCTGGCCAGTGCCCTGCGAGGCCTGGGTGCCTTCCCACAGGACATGCCTGACTGGAAGCGAGCTGCCTTCGGAGGGAACAAGGCTTCTTACGGCAAGAAGACTCAGATGTCCATCATAGAACAGAGACAGAGTCTTCCTATCTACAAACTCAAGGATGAACTTATAGATGTAAGTGCATACAGGTATAATATTCAGGTATCATACACAGAATATCCCACCTGCATCTGCAGGTTAGTGCAGGTAAAATTGGAGCTGTGCAGATATTTCTCAACTCTTTCTCATGCCTAGGAGGGTCCAGGGGCATACTCCCCGGGAATAAATCTTAACCCACAGAAATGCTATTTCCTTTATTATGCGGGGAAAACTTTGCTGGTAGACTAAGCTTAGTTTAATAATATCTCTTTCTATATCTTAACACCCCATTTTCTGACCATCAAAGATGACGAATTGGGCAAAATTTTTGCTGTCATGAGGCACAAAATTCTGTCAAATGACAGAAAGATGGATGCTGGCCATAACGCACAGACTAGTGATTAATACACTAATCGTGTTTCTGTTTGTCCAGGCTGTGACTCAGAACCAGATCCTGATTGTGATTGGTGAGACGGGCAGCGGGAAGACGACACAGATCACACAGTACCTCGCCGAGGCCGGCTTCACGGTCAGGGGGAAGCTGGGATGTACGCAGCCCCGCCGTGTGGCCGCCATGTCTGTCGCCAAGAGGGTCTCGGAGGAATTTGGCTGTCGTTTAGGGCAAGAGGTGGGTGTACTGTGAAATATATGCGATGGTTTTAAGTTTGTTTGTCATTTTCCCAGTGAGTTCAGATACATGTACGTCTGTAAAGGTATAATCATCTTGTTTCAATCTCTAGTACTGACTTTGGTAACTGAAAAAAAAGGTCTTTCCACAAATCTAAGAAATTGTTCCTACGTGGTAACTTCCATTTGTAGAAAGAGTTGTTTTCCTGACTAAAAGTGGGATCCTTGTCTTTCACTGTATCAAAAAAAGAAGTCAAACACAGTGGATTTTGGTATTAGCTTTTTAGTTCAATTAATGTAATATTGTTACTACTGTTTCTATTTATTTGCTTCCAATTAGTCCTATATCAAAGCCTTAACACATTTCGGGACGTGTTACCTTGTCCATGCAGGTTGGCTACACCATCCGTTTTGAAGACGTGACGAGCCCTGAGACGAAGATTAAGTACATGACAGACGGTATGCTGCTGAGGGAGTGTCTGATAGATGGAGACCTGTCCCAGTACTCTGTTATCATGTTGGACGAGGCTCATGAGAGAACCATCAGCACGGATGTTCTGTTTGGACTCATGAAAAAGGTGCCAGACTTACTGATTTACATGTAGTATCATGGCAACTGCAGTTCCAAGCTCATCTGCAAGGGAGCGCTTGTGAGATAAGCAGTGAAAATTTCTGCCAATGCTAACTTAATAACTTAAATATAGGAGGACTGTAACTCAACTGTTTGAGTTTGTAATGGAAATAAATGTCTGAGTCTATGTTGAATGGTAATTTCCAAGACAAGATGTTGGACCCAAATTTTTGACAAAACAACTTTTTACCACTTTTCAACAATTTTTTGTGTTGGAAATTACAGTTAAAACTTGCTTCACAGCCATGTATGATGTAAAAGCTTAGAGTATGACATGGCAAATTTTCCTTTCCATAGGCCGTGCACAAGCGCCCAGACCTGAAGCTGATTGTGACGTCAGCCACCCTGGATGCGGTGAAGTTCTCTCAGTACTTCTTCGAGGGTCCGATCTTCACGATCCCCGGGCGGTCCTTCCCGGTGGAGATCCTGTACACCAAGGAAGCGGAGACGGACTACCTGGACGCTTCCCTCATCACTGTCATGCAGATCCACCTCACTGAGCCGCCAGGTACGGGATAACTTTGTACAAAGTTAGAAGTACGGCATAGCAGTGTTTGAAATACTTTTTTGAGCCAGGTAGCACAGTGTTCTATGCATAGAAATACAAGTGAATATGTGGAATAAAAAAGGGGCTACAGCAGTGATCTTGATAGCCTGAATTTGTAACCATCATCTCATAACATCATGTCGAGTGCTGAAGGTGTGACAAAATTTTGACATCTTGACCATCTAAAATGCTATTTACTGCATTTTGAAAGTACAGTATTACAAACCATACTATGTCTCCACCAATGGGAGTCCAGTATTACAGATAGTGATGCATACCGGTTCACTGGACTCGGATCCGGACTTGTAAGAATGTTTAGGTTCAAGTCCAAAAAAACCTAAAAGTCAAGAACCGAGTCCGGACTTATTACCATAAAAGACCATTTCACATACCCCTTTTCTTTCCAAACCACCTAAAACCTTCTGTAGATTGTAAAATCTGTGCTGCAAAATGAAGAAAACATTGCCATTGGGCATCGTCAAGTACCGGCCTCCATGTTATGTGGCCAAAGTTTCACCCAGATAACATTGCGAGGTTGCCAACAAGCAATTTTGTATATGCCATGGGTTTAGGTCCGGACTTACAAGTCCGGAACTGAACCTAAACCTCTGGACTTGAATCCGGACCTGAACCTAAAATTGGGTTTAGGTATGCATCACTAATTACAGACCATACCCTTTCTCCACCAATGAGATTACATTATTTGAGATGACATTATTACCATGCCTCCACCATTGAGAGCACAGTATAACGGACCGTACCATTCCCGCCGACAGGTGACATCCTGGTGTTCCTGACGGGTCAGGAGGAGATTGACACTGCGTGTGAGATCCTGTTTGAGCGGATGAAGACCCTCGGGCCGGAGGTTCCAGAACTGATCATCCTGCCGGTATACTCCGCCCTCCCCAGCGAGATGCAGACCAGGATCTTTGACCCCGCTCCTCCCGGCAGTAGGAAGGTAGGACTAGCTGACAGTGTACACTTCGCTGAAACAAACAAATCTAATCTGTGTTGGTAGTAATCATAGTAAAATGTTGAACTTTATTCCAACACAACAAGTACGGAGAGATTAAATTTTCAACGACCAATGTCGCTTTTATCAGGATAATTAAAGACTAAAACAAACAAACAAACAGTCAAACCAACTGGGATTTCCAACACAAGGAATCGGACTGTACGACTCCAGACTTTGACAAGGAATGAGCAGTCCATAACTGGGATTGTTGTTACATGACGACAACAGCCATTCAAACTATTGTAGAGTTTTTTGTCTTTATTTTGCCCGAGATGAGGAACATTTTGAATTTCCCAGCAATTTTTTGCCATACAATATTAATTTTCCTTTTTTTTCAAAATCGTGGGACTGTAACATTTTATTGAAGCTTTATGCCTGTATTTTGTAGGTTGTTATTGCAACCAACATTGCAGAGACCTCGCTGACCATTGATGGTATTTACTACGTGGTGGACCCTGGGTTTGTCAAACAGAAGGTCTACAACTCCAAAACTGGCATGGACGCTCTGGTGGTTACACCTATCTCACAGGTATGTGCTGACAGATCTTAGTAATTAGAGTTGTTGATGTTATATACTCCATGTACTTAAATGTACATGTAAGTGTTCAAGAAATTACACATGTTGCAAGAAATAGTGTTGTTGATCATATGGTAGGAGTCTAGGCTCAATTTTAAGTAGCTGAAGTAACAGAAGCAGAATCTTTTTTTAGATTTTCTGGACAGACATGACTATTTGGATTGTAATAGAATTATGTTATCACTATACAAATGTATTACGGATTCTAAGTCTGCATGTCAAAATTTAAACCTTGTAGAGAATTTCAGCATACTAAATGGTGTGGAAGTAAGAATTGAGTCTGAGTTTTTATATCAAAATTTATCAACCATACTTTATTAAGGTCAATAAGTTTCACTTTACACACTTTCCTGTTGTTTAAGGCTCAAGCAAAGCAGCGTTCAGGCCGTGCCGGGCGGACGGGGCCGGGGAAGTGTTATCGGCTGTACACGGAGCGGGCGTACCGGGACGAGATGCTGCCCACGGCCGTGCCCGAGATCCAGCGCACCAACCTGGCCAGCACCGTGCTCAACCTCAAGGCCATGGGCATCAACGACCTGCTGTCCTTCGACTTCATGGACTCCCCACCCATGGAGACCATGGTGACGGCCATGGAGCAGCTGCACTACCTCAGCGCACTGGACGACGAGGGACTGCTCACCAGACTGGGCAGAAGGGTGGGTTCTTCATTTTGAGGCAGCCACCTTCAACTAGCTGAAGATTCTGCTGCCTTTTTTGTCGCTAATACGAGATGGGGTTTGCCAGGTCCTCATCCTGGAAAGTTGTGTAAAGTGCCTTTCCCAAGGGCACAAGATCAGTGACATGGCAGGGTTCGAACCGGAACCTCTAGACTTGGTTCTGAGCAGAATGCTCTGTCGTTATGCCACACGACCCCACCAATAAAGTCCAAGAACTATAGTTCTTTCACCCCCCTCTTCTTGTTTCCACCGTAAAGATTAAGTAGTGTGTACATGTCCGTTTTCCTCAGACCGTGAAATTCAGTACATTCTAAAGTGAATTATAGTACATTGAATAGAGACTGAATGGAATTGAATGTGTGTTTACAGATGGCAGAGTTTCCATTGGAGCCCAACCTGTCCAAGATGTTGATCATGTCCGTGCATCTGGGCTGCAGTGATGAAGTCTTAACCATCGTGTCTATGCTGTCTGTACAGTCAGTCTTCTACAGACCTAAGGTAAGCCTTAAATACTGTACCCTATATATGGAATCCTTATACTTTATATGGCTTCCCCTTACCTTATATGGGAGCCCCATACCTTATATGGAAGCCCCGTTCCTCATAGGAAAGACCCATACCTTGAATGGAAGCCTTATATGGGGCATTGTTCAATATTGTATGAAAATTGTATAGAAATATTGAATCCCCATACCTTATATAGAAGCCCCACACCTTATATGGAACCCCTATACCCTATATGGATACCTTATATGGAAGTCTCATACCTTATATGGAAGCCCTATGCCTTATATGGAAGCCCCATAAGTTATATAGAAACACCATACCTTATATGGAAACCCCATGCCTTATATGGAATCCCCATATCTTAAAGGGAAACCCCATACCTAATATGGAAGCCCTGTACCTTATATGGAAGCCCCATACCTTATATGGAATCCCCATATCTTAAAGGGAAACCCCATACCTTATATGGAAGCCCTGTACCTTATATGGAAGCCCCATACCTTATATGGAATCCCCATATCTTAAAGGGAAACCCCATACCTTATATGGAAGCCCCATACCTTATATGGAAGCCCCATACCTTATATGGAATCCCCATATCTTAAAGGGAAACCCCATACCTTATATGGAAGCCCCATACCTTATATGGAAGCCCCATACCTTATATGTCTGTCTGCCCCTCCCCCCAGGACAAACAGGCCCTTGCTGACCAGAAGAAGGCAAAGTTCCACCAGGCGGAGGGTGACCACCTCACCCTGCTGACCGTCTACAACTCCTGGAAGAACAACAAGTTCTCCAATGCCTGGTGCTACGAGAACTTCGTGCAGGCGCGCTCGCTGCGGCGGGCACAGGACATCCGCAAACAGATGCTGGGCATCATGGACAGGTGGGGGGAGTTTACCTACTGGTCGGCTTGTTCAGAGAGGTTCTTTGTATATCTTTGATGTAATTATGGAATTTTTGTCAGTGTTGATAGATTAGCCTTCTCGAAAAATTCAAGGGAGTGAACTGCAATGAAGTTTTTGGCTAGTTGATTGAGAGTGTGTGACAGCTTTAACATCTTGTCGTCTCCCCAAACACAAGCCAGATGGTTCAGTAGGCCATCTGTAGTGGTTTGCTTGTGTGTGTGACCATGTGTATGACACTGCTATATCATCATGCCATTTTCTTCTTCCCCAGACACAAGCTAGATGTGGTGTCCTGTGGTAAGGGCACAGTTAAGGTACAGAAGGCCATCTGTAGTGGTTTCTTCCGGAACGCTGCAAAGAAGGACCCCCAGGAGGGGTACAGAACCCTGGTGGACCAGCAGGTCGTCTACATCCACCCTTCCAGCGCTCTGTTCAACAGGCAGCCTGACTGGTAAGTTTTACAGATTAATTATGAAGCAAGTTTGAACTGTACTTACAACACAAGAAATTGGACTTGCGCAAATTTAGACTGTACAATTCCAGTCTTTGTCAAGGAATGAACAATCCACTGCTTCTTTGACATTACGTTATGCAGAATGACGACACACGACTCTTTGAGCAGTTAGTTGTGTAGATTTAGATGTGCAAAGGTTAGATGTAACTGATCGTTTGCTGTAGTTATATAACCAACTGCCGCTGCACCCTATGTCTGAGAAGCTGGTGTGCTACACCGTAGGGTGGTTATACCTGATGTACAGATAAGCGGTACAGGTGTCGAGAAACAGTAGATGGTGACATGAGAAGTGTAGCAACGCAAGATTCTGAACACCCTACTCCTTTCCCCTCTGCAGGGTTGTGTACCATGAGTTGGTGCTGACGACTAAGGAGTACATGCGTGAGGTCACCACCATCGACCCTCGCTGGCTGGTGGAGTTTGCCGGAGCCTTCTTCAAGTTCTCCGACCCGACCAAACTCAGCAAGCAGAAGAAACAGCAGCGTCTGGAGCCGCTCTACAACAAGTACGAGGAACCCAACGCCTGGAGAATATCAAGGGCCTTCCGCAGGAGATAGACTGTTTATAAACATTTCAATTTGTACAAAATGTGGCTGTAACAAGTGTTGTATTTATCCTGTGTATCTTGAAATCTGCGGTATTCTGGTACCTAAAATTGGATTCGTGCACTTCCAGCTAGATGTTCTTAGTGGTAGACTTTTTTTACAATCCCTACGAGGCTCAGCCCTGTCTGACACATCCTTACACTGACTGTTCTGTCACAGTTGTCTGGTTGTTGACTTATTCCGAATTCACAATAACCTCATGAAAGCGCATCGCTTAAGCTATCTTCATACCAAAAATCACAACATCGAAGACAGTAAAATGTTCAGAGTCTCAAATGTTTTTGTGTAACCTTTATTCAAGAAAAATACTGAACTTTGTTACAACAGTAAGTACATGTACCAACACCATGTTACAATACAACACATGATGTAAGTTTTATCTGTCAAAGGTACTTAGAGTAGGTCTCTTATCTAACATAGAATATTGTGGACAGAGTACAGTAACAACAGCTATATCAGACCTTTAAACTGGCTATTTGGGATCTAAAAGAGAAGCCCTTCACATGTAGTACAATCACAGACATTGTATAGTGACTTCTACAATATGATAATACATGTACAATGCACTTGGGTTGGGTACTAGATGTACTGTTCATCTTGGTTAGTATATTTGTACATTAACCATATCCAACATAACCTTGGTGCCAAACATATAACTTGAAAGCCAAGTTCAGGTATGAATGGCACATGGGTTGGTGTTTTTATTTTCCTTGAATTCAGATTAAACTGAAAAGTAAATACACTGAATGAATCCTCGCCTCTCTCTATTGTAGCAGCCAAACAGAATTAATGACAGTTACTGTAAGAGATCTACATGTAGAGAGTGTTATCCATGTAGACTGTAGTCAAACATAGAAAACACCAAAATTTACATCATATATAATTTGTACTGCAAGTTGAATTAGACTTGGAGGAATGTGACAAGGTTTTCTATGGAGCTGCAGAAAAAAACAGTTCCTATTATCATCATTATTATCATCAGCAAGAAACATTGCAGTAACTACTGCTGTATGCTGTAACCAACTACAAATGTAGTTAAATTTCCTTAGCTACAAACTGATACAATGATCTTATAGCTACAGGGTAGGACTTTTCATGTAGTTAAATGTAAGGTACATCACACACCTTATTGTCATAGGACTTTCCGAGGATACCGGTATTGCAGGGCCCACTGTCAACAAGAATCTACATGTAGTAACTTTTGAAAGACTGCACCAATACTGTCCTTAACTGTTAAACAAGGCTTTATGGAATGCAGTGAAAGAGCAGTTTAACAGTGTCTACAGCAACCTTTCTGTTGCAGTCAAAACTGCCCCAAAAGACCACTCATGGGACCGATAAAATGCGATCTATGTGGACAGGGTCACTATACTTGTGTCAATGGGAAAATTTTTAAGGGCCCAGGTGGTCCTTATATACAGGTGGTCACTAGTACAGGTTTGGCTGTATACCAATGGCCAGGTGGTCCTTACATTGAGGTGGCCACAAGTACAGGTTTGGCTGTATATCAATGACCAGGTGGTCCTTATATTGAGGTGGCCACAAGTACAGGTTTGACTGTATGTACCCATGGTAAGACGAATACGACAATTACGGAATGCAGTATTTAAAATCCATCCCAGCCTCCTCATTCGTCGGGAGGTTTCCAGCCGACTTTCCGCCCCTCCTCGTACATTTTCCTCAGCGTCTTGTGGAACTCGTCCGGCTCCTGCTCGTCCTTCAGCTGTTTGAACTTCTTGTGCAGCTGCAGGGCCGTCCGCGCATCCTCTATACTGTCATGGGTGTCACTCTGGATACGCAGTTCTACGGGGGAAAGGGAGTACATCCAGAATGAAGCAAACTTGCAACTATCTAATACATGTAGTACGTATGAAAACAATACAATATTCACCCAAGGTACTAGCAAGACCACAGGTTGGATCACCTAACGACTGAATACACTGTGCTGTTTTTATTGATGTCATACCCACTCAAGAAAAACACACAAGAATGTGCTAAAAGTTGAGAAAATTTGGTGTCTCTAAACAACTCCCATGTCCAATTTGACTCCAAATCTGGTATTAGAATTTTGGAAGTGGAGCACGCAAAATGTGTCCAAATATCATTCTATGGAACTTCAGGAAGCCTGTCTGATAACCAGTAGAACACTGTGTGATACAGCTGATCAGTTTTCGGATGTTATCAGGCCCAAGTATGAGGTTTACCACACGTGGAAATGACTTATAAAGAAAGGTTAATATAAAATTAAAGTATGAAGCACACAACTTACTGAGGAAATACCAGGCCAGGAAGCGGAGTGACATCATCCTCTTGTTGGTCAGGTGGAACAACAGAACTGTGTCCACTATCTGGTCCTTGGGAACCTGGACATAAAAGGGCAGAAGGCAAATTTCTTGAAAAAAAAAAGAAAGTGATCTCGATCCACTTTTAGCTCAATAAAGAGCTAATTTTCCACTGTTTGTGACAGAGAAGACAGACACTCTGTACAGTATTTACTGGTTCATTGTTACGGGGAAATTCTCTTAGCTAATTTTTACTAGTACAATGAACAGTGTCCCTGCTCTAGAAGAGGCAATGTTCCTTTGTCTGATGTAAACAAAGTAAAGAGACACATGTTGTAACTTCACACTTGGAAACCCAGACTACGTACAAAGAGGTTGATGACTCGGAAATCCTTCTTCAGCCCGTGTCCCACCATCTTCACTCCCTTGTCAATCAAATACCTGAAACAAACGATTACACACGGTGTCAAAAGTCATATACTCCATTCCTTTAGCCATGTGTCACATAACCCATGACGGGTGCAACCACTACAGCAGTTTAGTCCCTGGCAGTGGTGTGTGTTTTACTTCCATACTCTTTCCCACATGCTAAGCAGAGAAAGCATTTTGATTTTGTGCCTTTTTTTAAGTCCTTACACAAAGTGATTGCACACAATGTAGCAGTCTCCAATTTGAAAAAGTGAATCCAAAAATTGAATTGGAATTTTGTCTCCATTGCTTATTGCTTTATCTATGTGTTTTCAAACATTTTACAAAAAGATTACTGATTTGAAACAAGAACACTTTACCATTAAATTTATACTTCTTTTGGGATTCTTAACAGTTATGGACACGTTTCTCCTTTCTTTTTAACAGTCTTACAATGCTTAAGTTTAAAATGATAGTAAGAACATGTACCTTAGCTTGAGGTAAGTAGACTTGAGCGTTGTCAGGTGTTTAGAAGAGATATTAGCATCCAAATCACCCGGCTTGATACCTGAAAACTTGGTCAGGTAATCCACCACCTAAATCATCAATAGAAATAGAAGAATTCATTGTATTACAAAAGACAAACATTGGGAAAAAAATTCACATGAACTTCTCATGAATGAAGAAAAGTTTACCTGTTCTTGGGTGGAAATGTAGTCATCTATGAAAGGTGTTCCTTCCTGGGGGCCTTGGCTGCATGAAAAAATGACATGCATTGGCAAAATGTACAGAAAACAAGTACTGTTCTGTTTATTCTTATTAATTAAAGTTAAACACATTTGATATATATTTGTATATAGTGACCAGCCCCTCCAACTCTATCCTGCCACATGCTACATAATGTAATCCAACACCAACTGGTGTCTGCCTCAGCACCAACTACCATGGTGACAGCCATCTGGTCCAGGTTATTGACCTTATTTGTTTGGAAGGAAAGAAGACGAAGAAACAGAGCAAAAACACTGTGAAGGTGAACATAATAAACAGACTCACCCCCTGATGACAGTAATCCTGGCTACTGACATGTGGCTGGGTTTGATGGTGGACCTGGTGCCATCACTGTGGAGCTCTGCCTCTTCCTACAACCATAACAACAGTAACGTTTTCAGCACCAAGGTTCGAGTAAGTAGTGTTAAAAATGTCAAGAATACTTTTACACTGTCTCAGAAAAAGAGACTGTCTCAGGTACTTCATTCGTAGCATTGGGAAAGTAACAGCGATGAGACAGATTTTGACCGGTTTTGCCTTAATTCATTCCAACACAAAGAGGAAGCAAATTTTCAATGACCACTTCCGCATTCTCCTGACCTGGTTGAGTGTGACAAACTCTGCGTCCAGAGCGACCAGGTCTCCCTCCTTCGGCATCTCCTCCGCTGCAAGAGGCTGGAACGTGATGTGTCTCTTCAGCACACGGCTGGACAGAGACGCCTCCGGGAACAGCACCTTCTCACTGATCGGGTTATGGACTGAGCATGGGAAGAAAGAAGACTAAGTAACATTTGAAAAGCAAAGGCATAATGTTTACCTTCATCTGGTCTAGCCAACAAACTGCTGCTCTGTTTATTCTGTATTGAAATGATGACAGACACACAAGCAAACACACTGAAAACAAATTATACGGTTTGCAGAGGTAAAGCTGGGTTTATGGATCTTACTTTGGCAGTCGTGTCTCTTGTTCAGGTCCTTTCTGGAGAAGTACAGAACACAGGGAACCTTCCAGGCCATGCCAAACTGGACAGCATCCAACTGTAAAATCACAAGGTTTATTCCTGCACACATATCATGACAAAAGTGGTGGTGAAGAATCTTAAAGCATATCGAACATCAAAGTATTACTACATAGTCGGTGTCAAAATATGCATTAGACTTACCTTATCCATAGGGGCAATGGCAAAGTCGTTCACTAAGTACCACTGAGTAGCTGTGATGCCCTACGTAGTGAAAAAGAGTGGAATCAATAGATTTTCAAACAACTACCTGTCTGTATTTCTCTGCAGTGTCAGGAGAAAACAGTTTGTTTACTTCTTCTATGATAGGGAATGCCAATGTGCATGTATCATACAGACACGGATTTTGTTACTAGTACCTCTTTCCTTTTATGGTAAGGTATGCCAGCCTTGATGTGTGCGACCAGGTTTCCCCCCAGTCTGGACTCCTGCACGTGGCAGACTGAGCTGGTCAGCTCGTACACCGCCCACTCCTCACTCAACTTCTCCTTCTCCACGTCCTGGAACACAAGGTCATCAGCAAGGTCAAGGTCATCAGCAAGGTCAAGGTCATCATCAAGGTCATCATCAAGCAGGTCAAGGTCAACAGCAATGAGGGCCCTATCCAGTGTCTATCCTTCTTTCCCTTGATGGAATTTTCCTGTTAGTGATGAACCAAAAACGTACCCCATTCCGTGCTCTTTGGCAGAGGGATGCCAACCTTTATCAGCCCCTTACCTCCATCTCAGGAAGCCCCTCTATCTTCAGTTCCCCATCTGACAGCGCCATTTTCAGCCCACAGGGAAGCCAGTGTGCCTGGGCCTCCTCTTGTAGACTCATCTCTAGAATCTCTGCACTGGACAACACAGTTCTGAGGAAACAAAGAGGTAAAAATGGCAGCTACTGTAATTGTTTCCAAACACTGCACACTTGTCTGTTGTTCTTTAACAGAATTTTGTAATCTTTAGCAATCCTCACATTAGATAGTCAAATTTACACCTACAAAGGCTATTACATTGAGTATTCTTTAATTGTTACTGTGAGAGTGAATTTGGTGCGATGTAACCTTAGACTATTTATCTATCCTAGCACTGGGTACATACTAGTAGTCAGTTGCAATAAGTCATATTTCTCTACCAAAAATCAGCATAAGGCTGATAAAACAATCCTCTTTACACCATTGTGACAGAACAAGCCTGAAAGTCAGAAGAAGAAAAGCAGCGCAGTTTTCACCAACAAACACACAATATTCCACAACTGCTGCTGAAAGGTTGAAAAAGAATGCAGGTTGTTAGTTGCAACAGGGTAAGAATGACACACCAGATACCAGGACAACCAGCTAAGAAAATTCTCAGGGGTCATAATACTTCAGTCTGTACAGAGCATGGCTTTAGTCTAAATTGGTCCAAAATGTTCTGATTTGGGGCATTTCTTGCTCCAAAGCATATCAGATATTAAAACTTTTCGCACTTCTGTCTTGGCAAATTTGAGTTGTTAAGAGTACACAACATGTAAGAGAATGAGATGGCCCTGAGGCACTACCAAAATGTGTTAAAATACTAGTACCATCCTAGCCAAAATGCACCGAGTACAGTTAAACTTGTCTATGTGACCACCTAACAGTCGAAGTAGATAGGTGGTCACTCTAGACTGGATTCTCAGTGTTTTGGATCAGTGACTGTCTGTATTTCAACCCTGAGAATGTTGACTCACGCCTGCTGTTTCTCTGCCGTGCTCCTGTGAGAAAACTTGCAGTCGGCTCGCGTGCACATGTCACCATAACGGCACGGCCTGGCAACACGGCAAGGGGTTACACTAAGGCTACACTACACTTATCTACAGCAACATGGCAAGGGGTTACACTAATGCTACACTACACTTATCTACAGCAACATGGCAAGGGGTTACACACTAATGCTACACTGCACTTATCTACAGCAACATGGCAAGGGGTTACACACTAATGCTACACTACACTTATCTACAGCAACATGGCAACAGGTTATACTAATGCTACACTACACAACATCTGTCAGGGCTCGAAATAATATTCTTCCTGCATACTTGTACTGCTGCAGGTAACATCTGAAGTTACCATGTATTTTCTTTTCCATTTGATGATTCAACAAACAACATTTAGGACATTATTTCTGTTACCAGTTAGCACCAATCAAAATATAGTTTTCTGCTAGGTAGATTAGGTGCATGTACTAGTAGACATCAGAAGTATCTGCACAGCTGCAATTTCATCTGAACTGTGTATGCAGTTTATACTTCGAGCCCTGGTAGTTTAAAAAAGTGAACTACGGTTACTGTATTTGTACTCAAAATTAAAGTGTGGTTTGATTTCATACTTACATGTATGATAACAACATGACTCTCAAATAAATCAGAGAAGCTGCAAACAGTTTCAAGATTTACAAAAAGCAATAAACTTTTGAATCCCCAGCCAGCCAATCAGCTACCTACGTTTGTTCCTTGTCCTGTGGCCCGTGGGAGAACTTGCAGTCTGACCGCGTACAGTGACTCCCGTAGCGACAGGGTCGAACCGTGCGGGTCTGAGACGAGGACGCCTTGGAGGAATTCTCTTCTTTTTGTTTCATGATCTGGAGGGGGATATAATGTTTTTATGATTTCAAATCTGATTTAGGTTAAATGTTTCAGGGGTAGAGGTGTTACAATCTGTAAATCAGTATTGTGTGTTATACTACTGTAATGAGGCTTCAACATGCATTTATTGTTGTTCTTTTTTCTACAGCTCTATGTATGAGTGAGACAATCAGTGAGTGAGTAAACTATGTAGTCTTTGATAGACAAGGAACTGCAATATGAATAATACAGCCACCACAAAGGTTGTAAGAAACATGAACAGACCAGCATTACTTGAAGACTAAGGTTACCAAACGTATAAAATTTACAAAGACTCTACAAGCCTCAACAAAAAAGGGTAAAAAAAATTAGTTAAAAATCCAAGGAACCCAAAGAAGAATATCAGATAGGAATAGGATAAGAAATTAGTGGATAGGGAGGCACATAGAGCCATATCCCATACATTTGGTATTGGCATTGCACCTTTCCCCTTTAACCCAGAACCAAAGACTACAAAGAACTACACCATGTATAAGTTTCAGAGCAAACCAGAACCAAAACATATTCGAACAGGTGAAAGTCCTGGTTATGTGAACAGTAAAAAAGAGAAGAGAAAAAGAGTGGTTGGTAGAGTTGGTACTGGGTTGACTGATTGAGAAACAGACCTGGTCCCACGGTACGAAGTTCGGCATTTTCTACAAGTCGACAAGGAAGGAAGGGAAAATCACAACATTACAAAACATACAAGGATTCTGAAACCTACATTCATTAGACACTAAGCCATTTGATCATGGATTAACCCCACACACTCTATGGGTGCTATACAGGACCACATTTGTAGCTTTACATAGAGAGGATAGCTGGGTGAAGGTTACATATTGTATCAGTGGAGATAAAGAAAGGGAGAGAAAAGACTTGGAGTAACAACATGCAAAACAACATTTCGGGGAAAGATGGTGCAAGATTATAGTATTTATATTTTTCCACCCAAAACATGTTGCAACAAACTTTATCACTATCTTAATCTACTTCAAGAAAGTGTCCATTTATCATTTACTATCATTAACTACCATTTACTATCATTAATTATTTCCTGCTTTCTTTTTAGAAGAAACCATCATTATAATAGTTCACAAAGCTGACATGTGTGAATCCTAATAGTATCCAAACTATAGCAATTGCTACAAGGATTTTCATTGCAGACTTTGAAATGTGTGAATTCTATAGCAGGGATATGCAACATTGATGCTACATTGTATGTTGACCAAACATCTAACAAAAACCATCATACACAAATTCAGCTTTTCCTCAGGTACAGTACGCTCTGCCGACGTTCTCCCTGCGTAGATGTCACACATGATGATAAACCACTATCTAACCCTACCTCCTCCTGAGTCTTCCAGAACAGCAGGTCCCTCTCACTGTCCAGGTGACAGTTGATGGCCAGGATGTCAGGCAGGCTCTTTAGTTTCCTGCTCTGGGTCTGGGAAAAAATTCAAGGAAAACATCTTTGCAACAATTTTGCAGCAAAAATCCTGATAGAAAAAGCAAGTTGTAAGCTGACTAGATTTTCCAGCTCTGTCCTGCTACATAATGTAACTCAAGGTCAATGTAACAGTACCAGTTACCATGGTAACAGATGTCTGGTCCAGGTCATTGACCTTATCTGTATGGAGAAGAAGAAGAAGCTGAGCAAAAGGCAAAGGTAAACATAAAAACATCCTTGTACTAACAGTGGGCTGGTATCTGTTGCAGTCCTCACACCAGGCATGGGTGACTTGTTCTGATGACATGCTGCTCTTCAGGACCTCTGTAAAGGCGTACTGCTTCTTCTTGATCTCTGTAAGACAAATAATTTGTTTGAGCCTTTTTTTATTCATGAATAACTAAATCAGCCAGCTGGCTGCTTGAGGGAAGAGACAAAAAAGCACCTTCTGCTTCTAGTTATTTTTTACTTTATTTCACCTTGTGGCAAGCCTGTGAAGCTAGTGTGATACCAAAGGACTGGATTACACTAGCTATATACAGATTGTTAAATGTATGTCTAGGTTTTTTCCCTAAGGGCACATGGCAAAATGCCAGGCAGTAGGCGAGAAATAAATGAACAACACGCAAACATCAGAGCTTCACCTGAGTCAGAAATATCCGGGTAGTTGAGTCCGTACACCATAGAGTTGGTCTCCTTGGTTGTCTCCTTCCCACACCGACACTTACTGGAGATGGTCACTTCTGAACTAAACATCTTCTCAATCGGTGTCTTCTCAACTTCTTTTGGGGGTTCTGTCTCTTCGCCCTCCTTTTTCTCAGAGTCTTCCTCTTTTGGTTCTTGGATATCCTGAGAAGCAAAAGAAGATATTGATGTCGCCACAGACTCAGTAAGGAATTACATGTACTTCATTTTGTCGATTTTCTTTGGTACATATCCATGTACACACCTTGGCCTATCAAATTCACCTTCAAGAACTATTGTAGACTGCAACTTTTTGTCACGAATACAAATACTTGAAATCTTACACAATGCCTAAGCTTTTTTTTAGATCTGCAAGGGTTACCTGGTGCTCCTGGTATAAAATATGTCTGTTCAGAACCCATCTGCTGCATAATTAACTCACCTGTGATGCACCTGTTGTAGGATACATCTGTTCAGAACTCACCTGATGCACCTGTAAGATACACCTGTTCATAACTCACCTGGTACACCTGTAAGATACACCCTACAGAACTCACCTGGTGACCTGTATGATACACCTGTCTGTAACTCACCTGGTGACCTGTATGATACACCTGTTTCTAACTCACCTGGTACACCTGTAAGATACACCTGCTGAGAACTCACCTGGGGCACCTGTAAGATACACCTGCTGAGAACTCACCTGGCGCACCTGTATGATACACCTGTTTCTAACTCACCTGGTACACCTGTAAGATACACCTGTTTCTAACTCACCTGATGCACCTGTAAGACACACCTGGTGACCTGTATGATACACCTGTAGAGAGAACTCACCTGGTGCACCTGTATGATACACCTGTTTTTAACTCACCTGGTGCACCTGCTGTACGATGAACCTGTTCCATGACTGGATGAGGCGCCCCAGGTTGACCTTGCCGGTGGCCTCCTCCTGATCCCCCAGGACCAGCCCGAGCGCCGAGGCCTCCGGAATCGTGCGGAACGCTCGCAGGAAGTTACTCGCCTGGGACAAAATTCTCTCATTGTTATCTCAGTCTGTGAAAACTGTGGTGTTGTTTTGGGTCTGTATGACTCTGGTGAGTGTCTGTTTGTTTGTATGCTCAGTTGAGTGGCAGCTAGTGGGTGAAGGGGAATAACCTAACCACAGACTACAAAAGGATTTTAGGTCCCTGGGAAGCTGGCTAGGAGCCAGCAAGAAGTCGGCCAGGGAGCCTTTTTTCCTGTGTTTTTTTTAAATAAGCTCATAGTACTTTAATTTTGTAAAACATATATAGTTGAAAAATGACCAACTAGCTATTCCAATCTTGGCCCCCGTTCGGCTTCTTTAAAAGCATTTCTTGTTTCCTAGGCCTGGATGATGGAGTGTGTCCTTGCTGGTGTGGACCCCTACGGAAACGTGGTATGAAGACTAGCCCACTGCTATCCACCCGTGTCAGGGTCTCCCACAGCTGTATAGTCAAAGACTGGATACTACTTACCTGGCAGTTCTCCCCCTTGGACATGTCCAGCATGTGGAAGAGGAAGCCCAGCTCGCAGGTGAGGCAGAATTCCTTCTCACACAGGTGAGACTGAGCTGCACACCTGAGGGGCTCGATGAAATACAGCACCTGGAACAAAGGATGGTGTTTGACATTTTTTTTTAAATTTTTGTATATTAACAACTGTGATTTTTTTTTCTGACATGACAATCCTTACTGATTACAAGCAAGAAGCGATATGCTTAGGATTAATAAGATGGCTAGATGATACATCGATGAAGGTTGGATATCCGAAACACAAGAAAAGTTACTTAGCCACCTTTGAAAACTGTCAAACATTTCAAGTAGAATTTACTACTTTTTGTCTGTGAATAACAGGATCTGTTATTCAGATTGCCAGAATGATGATCTTCCAACTCAATTTTAACCCTACCTGCAGCATAGCATTGCAGTAACTATTTGGAATGTTGGTCTCCAGCCCAGCAAAGTTGGTCCGATTGTAGTGGCGGAAGTCAAAACTATCTACACCTGTGGCGGCAGAAAAGTTAAATCATTAGATGTACATTCTGTTTGTACTTGTGTAAGCACAGAAAGAAATGCAAGCAGCAACATGTACAACATTGTACATAAAAATGCCTGCTTACCGCTACATACATTTTGTTAGTGCTCAGGCCAACAGCTGTAAGTCCTCAAGTTTTTTCTGTAACTGTGTTCAATTACACTGTGCAATGAAATACATACCCAGTTTTGTGTATTTGATCTCTACTTTGCGGTATCTCTTCGGCACCATGTACCAACGGGGGCTCTCTCCTGTCGGGAGAGAAAAACAAAGAATTCAGACAAAATATGTTGCCATTATGATATAGTAAATAACAGTATAAGAGGAACAAACTCTTCTATAAAATTCAAAATACAAGACTGTTTCCATTGGAAACTTCCCAATGCATCAATACCACCCAAGACCTGTAACAATGCACAACAATGCAAATTACTTATACTAAGGTATGCCAAATGGTATTGAAGGTCCTACCCCTTGCCCCCGGTGACTCTGGAACAGTACTGGTTGCCCCGGGTGAGGTTGCAGGAATGGTGATGGCCAGGTCCTTGGCTCGGTACGGCACCTGGTTCCGCTTCTTCACCCTGGGGTTGGGCGCGTAGCCGATGAACTGCACAACCTTCATGGATGCCAGGATCTCGGGGTCAATTGGGGGCATCCGTCTGGGGAGGGAAGGTCCAAACTTTCACATGGGAATTTTTGTGTGTGCTAACTTACACCAGCACTTTCTTCTAGTACATTAGGTGCTTGTCAAGTGACCAAAAGACTTTATCTAGAACTACAACATTTTCTTCATGAGTTTGCCAACAATTACATGTACAACTATCATACAAACAAAGATGTGTTTTGAAATGTGTAACATGTTGTAATGTATAATGCTACCTGAGTGTATTGTATTGTTACAATCTAAACAAACTTACCTCTTTACATATTTCATGCAGTCCTCTGGCCAGTCAGACAGTAGAGGACCACTGGAAAATAAATTACACAAGGCATTCTCAAGCATGTTATGCCTCAGGATAACTGATGCTACATTGGTGGATCTTTTTAAATTCACATTTATTAACGTGGTGGTCTACGAGGATTATGAGAGTAAATCTTACTTACTGGCAGTTTTCGTACAGCATGGGAATACTCGCTAAGGGAGTCAGTGGGTCCACTATGGACATGGCTGGAAGGTGTTCTGGCTGTATATGGGACAGAGAAAAATATGATGGTAATATTTATGGCAACGAATTGTAGCTGTGGATAAACCTCTTATGGTTCCTAGTCTTCTTTCTTCCATCCACTCATCCATCCATGCACCCACATACACACACACACACACACATACTCATCCACCCACTGAATCCATGAATTTATCCAAAAGGCCACAAACCCACCCACATACACTCCATCCATCCATCCATCCATCCATCCATCCATCCATCCATCCATCCATCCATCCAACTCAATCCATCCATCCATCCATCCAACTCAATCCATCCATCCAAATCCATACCACTCAATCCATGAATTCAACAAACCCACCTACTCACAAACCCACCCATACAATCAATCATCATTCAATCCACCGAACCACTCACCCTGACCCATCCATTGACCCAACCCCTGTACTTACATGATCAGCGAATTCCGTAGGGTGGGAGTAGTTATTGTACAGGACCTCCTCTCTGTCTGTCCACAGGTGCAGCAAACCTCCGTTGTCTCCGAAGGAGAAGGCCTCACACGATGTGGAGATGTCGAAGCCCATGCACATGTGTCCGTGGGTGTTCAGCTGGTGGATGGCCATACTGGCGGGGGTCATGACCCCGGCCAGATCCAGGATCTGGAACTGACCAGCCTGATGGGAAAACACAATCAAACAGCACCACCTGTTGATATCGATACAAACTGCAGGTCCAATACCAGTCGGTATGAAAATGTGAGAACAAGTTTATAACAAGAATTTTAAAAATTGACACAAAAAAATTGTACAAAAAAAATTGTGCTTCCACACATTTAATGTATACTTTTCAAGTGAACATTTTCGCTGTGCCACGTGCCTGCAAAGCTGGTGTCTTACGTCAAAGGGAGGTTATACCAGTTGTACGGTTACAGATGTGCAAGATAACATGTAACATAACCAGCAGATTATGGTTCCTACAGTACAAGGGTTGTCCAATGGATACAGATAATTTAAAGGACAAACACAGTAATTTAAAAATATCACCCCTATGGGTGTGGGATTGGTAGAAACCAATAGATCACCTTTTGCAAATAGGATTTTTTGGTTAAAAGGCACCAAAACTGAAATTACTGTATTTGTCCTTTAACGTACAGGCTACTGTCCACCACACCTGTGACACAGCGACAATCCTGGGTGTGTAGGTGGGAACGAAGCGGAGGAACATCGGGTCGATGGACAGCTGCATGGGCGCCATCGCTCGCATCACACGCAGGTCATAGATCATCAGGAAACGGTCAACCGCCAAACTGCCTCTCCTGGTGCAGCAGGCAAGAAATGTACGTGTATTTGTGATTTATTATGTTTACCAAAGGAAAACATACCTGTTTCCTCTTCTTCTTCTCCAAACCAAAAAGGTCAATGACCTGAACCAGACTCTCTGTTACCATGGTAATTACTGTTGGGTTACATCATGTTGCAATTTTATAGCAGGAGGGATTTAGACTCCTGTCACCATATAAATGAATGTGTTTGAGTAAGAATTAACAGAGCAGATCATATGCGAAGGTAAACATTATGCATTTGCTCTGCAAATGTTACCTTTCTAATTTATTCAAAATTTATTCAAAATTTCAAAATATAAACCTGTTTCATTGACGGGGCTAGAAATACCACTTACATATACAGGAAAAGTACAGGTAAAATAAACAAATCTAAGTCAACAATTGTTTACCTGGTAGAAAAGCCGGCTGTAACCAGCAGGTTTCCATGGACGTCGAAGTCAGACAGGGAGCCAGAGTGAGCCTTCAGGATGTGCTCCACTTTAAAGGTGTTCATGTCACGTAAGGTCACCTGGGGACACATAGAAGAACAGTTATTACAGCAGGCACTGGACTTCTGATGGTTTTTGCTATTATCAAAGTTATTATTGAAGTTTGTAGCTTTTACCTTCTGAGTCTTAAAAGGAACTACAGGAATGATTGAACAGTTGTTAGTTTCTGGATTTTAAAACAGATTCTGTCTAGTCAAACTTGAAATTGAAGTTGTTAAGTCTGGTACTAGGGGAGGAATGGAAAACCAGTTGAGCTCACCAAAGAGCTAATCTTCCATTGGTCATGATACACATTGCCCAGATTAATGAAAGACAAATTAAACAAACAAACAAATAAACAAACAACAGTTTCTCCTTACCTGTCCACTTGTATCCCCACAGCATATGAATCTGTTGGTGTGTCTGAATATAGCCACTCCGGGATCCCCCACTTCAAGCTGTAGAGCAGGGGGAGAAAAAACATCTGCAAATTTTATGACTAGTTCTGTTAGTATGTTTTCTACTATCGTAAAATGTATACCACGTGAGAGACTCTAACTATGTTCAGGAAATGTATTGATAGTAAAAGTTTCTTACCAAGTTTACTTGCTGCCCAGAATTTAGATCAAACTCAATGACTTTGTCCTGGTGCCCCCCTATGAGAAGAGTGGTTGGGTCCACCAGTGTCATGACCTGCATGTCGTGCATGTCCTCTCCACTGTAAAACAGGGGTGGGCAGGACCAGTCAAACAGGGTGCAATAAAACCATATTTTTGTTAGCTTAGGCATATCTTACTTCTAAAACCTAATCTTGTACATGTAGAGGTATATGTATATATATTATTACTGTAATATCATAAAAAAACATGAAATCCTTCATAGATTAAGTTGTTTTGTAAAATTTTTATTCACATAGAATAATGTAATAGTTTTGTAGATTGTTAAGCCACCTTATATGTTGCCTTAATGTTTTGTCATGTCTTGTTAGCAGGGCAAGCCCTTTGTAACAGCCACTGGCTAGTTGGGCTGCCCTGGCTGTGAGGACTGAACAGCCAAACCAATAAACAACTTGAACAAGTACAGTTTAACTGCAGCGATCACAGACCTGAAATCGAAGATGGTGAGCCCGCCGCGCTCGGAGCACCTCATTCGGTTGTTCCCGAGCAGCAGCACACCGTTGTCGATACTGAGAACCTGCCGCATCTCCGTCCCAACAGGCAGCGGCTGGAAGGACGAGTACTTCTGCATACCCGGGCCGTAGTACGACGTCACGTGGCCCTGGGTGGGAAAGACTTTAACTTATTCATACTCATACAGACATTTAAAATCTCTTTCCATTTCAATTCTATCAAACATCAGATTGCTGAATCACAAGTGCAGAAACAGCCATCTAATATCATAGTTGCTGATGTTTTAACCTTACCAAAGGAACACAAGCTTGAAAAACAGGCCAGTAATACACTAGTTCTCTTTGGACTGTGACAGTCAGAGATAAAGGTACAAACTTGCCAAACTTGATAAATGTTAATAATGTCTGATAAAAACGACAAGTTTTATATGAAACTTAAATTCTGAGAAATTATATTTTGACTAAAAATTTCTGAGCATCTCACCCCTTGGTTCCCCATCCATAGCAGCTCCTGATGGAGGTCAAAGGCCACGGCGGACACCCCGTAGCGATCTCCTCCGTCCGCGACTATCGTGTGGAGCTCGTGGTACTCCTCGTTACCCACAGGGGGGTTCGATATGCCTCGACCTACAGAATAATTCTGTCTTAGTTTTATTTCTGAACGTTGATTGCTAACAATGTTTACAAATACTATTATTAGTCTGTAGTCTATTGCTTATTACAGTCACTGCATTTGTATTGTATTTTCCTGTGTAACTGCATAACACACCAGCCAGCTTAGCTTTGCAGGCACGTTTTTGTATGTATGTTGTAACATAGCCGTGGCGACTATTGATTCGGGCTTACATTGCATTACCCTCAGCAATAGTCGTGGAAAGATCCATTGGCAGAACTGCACATTTCCCGTTGGCTGCTCGATGCTCCGTTTTTGACCCGGTTTTTTGCTGTCCCGAGCTTCCCTACAATATAACTCCACAATTGGCCGGGTTGCCGATGTTTAGATCAGCCTAAATATTCCACAGCGCGACAGAAAAGTAGTAAAATAGCTAGTCGGCACAAGCTGGCGCCATCTTGGATATAGTCGGGAATGTCCGCTACCGCCGTCGGGAACGCTCGGTAGCGTCACGATTACCGAAGCCCGACCGAAAGCTCTCCGATTATAACCGGAAAGGCTACCGAGCGTTCCCGACGGCGGTAGCGGACATTCCCGACTATATCCAAGATGGCGCCAGCTTGTGCCGACTAGCTATTTTACTACTTTTCTGTCGCGCTGTGGAATATTTAGGCTGATCTAAACATCGGCAACCCGGCCAATTGTGGAGTTATATTGTAGGGAAGCTCGGGACAGCAAAAAACCGGGTCAAAAACGGAGCATCGAGCAGCCAACGGGAAATGTGCAGTTCTGCCAATGGATCTTTCCACGACTATTGCTGAGGGTAATGCAATGTAAGCCCGAATCAATAGTCGCCACGGCTAGTTGTAACAGTGTTTTCCTCATTGACTGATGGAGGAAGACAAAGTTTTTGTGTCATATCATTCCCTTTGTTCATCAAACTGTATTGCCATAAGAAAGAATACTGAAACTTATAAACTTGAATCTGTGACAAGGTCAGTCAATCGCCCCTCCCCCTTCCGAACGACAGAACCTGTGCTGTCCGTACCGCTGTGCATGATGCCGTGCTGGTCCTGATGCTGTCCGCTATGATGCTGTCCGTTTGGATCACTGGGATGGAAGCCTTCCTCGAAACCGCTGGAGTTGTGTCCGTAGTCGCCGCTCCCGTTAAAGCTGCCGTCTAAAATGGGGACGTGCCCGTCCACAAATATCTCTGGATGGTGCTGCGGCTGCTGCGGCGCGTGCGGAACGGGGGAGGGGGCGAAGGGCGGGGCGTGAGGCCCCGGGGAGGGCGCAAAAGGCGGCGCGTCGGGGCTGAACGTGCTCGCGCTGGTTGTGGTCGCGGTGGCGGGGCTGAAATGTGGAGCGTACGGATTCGGCGGCATCCCGCCTCCCGTAGACGTGTTAAACTCCATTTTACAACTCCTTTTGGTCCTAGGATATATGCGTGAACGTTTCACGGAGTTATAGACTGTTAGAGGAATGTAAAGTTGTATAAAAAGCGGTCAAATTTTCGAGAGAAAATTTGACGGGAACCAAAACAAAAACGAACCGACCATGTTTCTTACCCATGGGTCCGTGCGCCGGGTCGGAGGTCAGCTGGGGCATTGCATCAGTTGTTTTGATTTTTCGATGTCAACAGAAGAAATAACTGCCAAAACCGGTCATCTATTAAGTTAAACACGGGCGTTCTGCGCTCAGAAACATTGTGACAGGTAAAAATTCTACCATTTATAATCAGGATGTTAGTTTGATCGGATTTATTTTGCCTGAAAATGGAGAAAACGTGAACTATTTCCGATGTAAACATTGACAATCTTGGGGGAGGGGCCCGAACCGGGTTGTAGGGAAGTTGGGCGTGTCATTTTCACAAGATGTAACCATATTTATCCAGTTTTTGTCCATATATTGCCGTATGCTGTGATAGCTGGGGACCCAACAGTGCACGCTAAATAAAAAGGACCCAAGGGGTCAAACTGCGTTGCCTGCCAGGAAGTATAAATAACTTTACAGTATCGAGTATGGTAAATAATTGTGTAACCGCTTAACATTCCTGGCGACTTGCCAACGCACCATCGCAATACGTACACATAGTCAGATAATATTGAGAAAGACGAACCCTTGAACGAAATATTTGTAAAGTAAATGTGGTGTAGAAAATTTGGGAGATAATTTTTTTAAGCAATCTGTTACAGTCCACTGACTCTGGAGGGGTCATCATAATCAACATAGGGTAGTAACCAATCATTAACACCAAAACACATTCCCTATAGAGAAACCAGTTCGCATCCCATCTTCAATAACATGTAGGTGAAGCAAACGAAGTAAAAGAAGAATATGCTGTCTTGTTACACCTGGTTACTAGTATATTTTTAACAACTTCCTTTTCCACCTGCAGGAGCCATGAGTATCTATGACCTGAGCGACCCCCTCCTCCTCCAGATCTTCCAGTTCCTGGACCACCGAGACGTCTGCCTCGCCTTACGCCAGACATGTCAGCAGTGGTACCGCCTCAGCTACGACTTCACACTCTGGCAGCGTCTACGCTTCTCAGGCTTTTCCCAGCTCCGGAACGAACACTTCCTGCCTCTACTACGCTACTACGGAGACAGTATACAGGAGATTGACATTAGTGGGTGCAAAGGAATAGACGCTCTCGGGTTCAACGCCATCTCAGAACACTGTAAGAGTTTGAGGAAGCTGAACTTATCCGACACCTACATTGCAGGAGAAGCCTTTTTGAAGATTTGCGAGGAGTGCCCCAAAATCAAGGAGTTGAACATTTTCGACTGCCAGTTCATATCGTACAAAGTGCTTTCCTCTATACCAACATGTTTGCAAGGATTGAGAAAGCTTAGCATGTTAAACAGGTTAGATCCACTACAGTATGTACTGAATAGAAGTTCCGTCATCTCTGTGTACCAGTCTCTAATCAAGAACTGTAAGGAGCTTGTTGAGCTTGACTGCAAGGCCTCGGACTTTGTTGAAGATGACATTTTCAGTGACGGAATAGCCAATCTCCACAGCCTGAACCTTTCCCACTGTACAGGGGTGTCAGACGATGGGATCCAGTCTATAGCAGTCAGCTGCAGTGCTCTACGTCACCTCAACATCTCACACACGTACATCAGTAACAGGGGAATGGAAGTCATATCACGTTGTTGCAAATATCTGACGCATCTGGATGTAAGCGACTGTCGTAATGTCACGGACATCGGCGTGTGCATGGTAGCGCACAACTGCCACGAGCTCCGCCATCTTGACGTCCACGGGGAGTCGTGGATGGCGCTACGACCTCACAGCACGGGAAACATCACCGACGTGACGTTGAAGGTCCTCGCCTCATGGTGTCCGAGCTTGGAGTACCTGGACACCACGGGATGTTGGGGGGTTACAGACGACGGCGTACGTGCGATTACCACGGCCTGTAAGAACCTGCAGCACCTGGAAGTACGCGGATGTCTATCCATCAGCGACCAATCACTGCTCAGCCTTGCCGACAACTCCCGAGAGCTGCGATCCCTCAACATATCAGAGTGCGTGAAAGTTACATCTGCAGGTTTGAACCTTCTGGTGACGAAATGTACCAAGCTGCAGTTCCTGAAAGCAGAAACCTGCCATTATCTTGCCAACCTGAGGTTCAGCTGCCAGGTGCAGCATTCCGTTGGGTGCAGCTGCTCACAGCTGCCTGCTAAAGATGTCCGTGGGTCTTCCTTCACAGGCCAGATATTCCCTAAGACTCTGGAGAGGCACTTCCAGTGTATAGATGAAGCAGGCACTTCTTCAGGTGGCTTCCAAGCCCTGTGTCGACCTCAGGTGGAGAAGTGTAAGATCACGCCCTGTGTGTTGAGTCACTTGGACCTGTCCTTCTGCTCCAACATAGCTGATGACGCCATCCAGCAGGTGGCATCTTTCTGCCAGCAGCTGAAGCACCTGTCACTCATGGGCTGTTACCTGGTAACTGACAAAGGGATTGGTGAGCTCATTTTTGATTGGCTGCTGTCATTTTCTGTTGGTGTCAATTTTCATGGCAATGATGGTCTTGACACATTGTGTGTGTGTGTGTGTGAATGCTTTTAAAAAGACTTAAAAAGTGTAAAAAAATTTTTCTTGCCCAACAGGTCACATTGCTAAGCACTGCAAGCTACTGGAGCATCTGAACCTATCGTGCAGCCGTACACAACGGTCCAAGCTAACTGACCAGACACTGTCAGAGCTGGCAGGGTTGTGTCACTCTCTGAAACACCTCAATCTCTACAACGGGGTCTGCTTCTCGGAGAAGGGCATCGGTCAGCTGATGAACAGGTGCTGGTCACTCAGGGAGCTGTGCTTGACCACCGGCACTCGGACAAAACTGGACGCAGAAGTCATTTGTCGGGTAATTACCACAACCATGCACAATAAAACAGTTAGTCAAGCAACTGAATAGATACAGATATATAGTGGAAGGACTTACTCAAGCTTAAGTAACAGTTTTCTTGTGTATTCACATTATCTGGATGTCTAATCTTCATCCACATATCACAACCTTTGTAAGGCTTTGAATACTTAATTTTTTAATCATTACAATAATCCATCATAATTAGTTACTACATGAAGTACTAGTTAATTGTAACATTGGGTAACGAGAGGGGGGCACATTGTACAAATCACTCTACTGTTGTAACAGTTGTGTGTATGTGGCATAATAAGGCCACACCAATTTAATTTGTTGGTTCTCGGATTTTTTCAGAAAAAATATGAAGCGACAGGGCGAAAAAAGTAAAAATAAAAACAGGTCTAGGCATCCCATTATAGGCTTAAATGCTACGGAATGAGCCATGAAGTCAACACAATCGCTGGGTTAAAATTTAAACATTGAATTTTGAACTTTTAATCAAACCACTGCAATGATAGATGGGAAAACTGTAACAACTAGGAAGAAAAGGACTTTCCTCAACTGTTTGGGGCAAAATATGAGCATTTTTCAGTTGATTCAGGACCTGAATCTAATTTTTTTTTCTTTTTTTTTGTAAATCAGAAAAAAACGAAGAGGCGAATCTGAGAACCAACAAATTAAATTGGTGTGGCCTAAAGTAAGTTGAAACTTTGTCCTTTGTCTAATGTTAATTTATAACTGTGTATGTTCCAGGCCATCATGTCAGCACGAGGAGACTGTATCGGTAAGATTCAGGCAGAGATGGACTGTCAGCAGCGATGGCCCCTGCTGCCAGCCTCGCCTCGTGTCGCCACCATGGAACGTAACATCCTCTTCAAGTTTCCCAGGAAGAGCAGCATGTGATGGGCGCATTTAAGGCCGCATAATTTTATTTCTTTGGTTCTCTGGCATTTTAACAACCCTTGTCCTGTGGCGCTCATATATGTATGGGCTGCACATACAGTACCATCTATATAGGTATATACAATTTTGGGGTATTTCTCGTGCAACACCTCACACCGCAGCAAAACAAACGAATGCGGAAGTAACTATGCCACTGCAGGGCAAAAAAAGTCTAGGGCCTATGATCTGATTAAGACATGAAATTATTTAAAAATATTGTGTAAAAATTGCCAGCAGGACAAGAGTTAAGATGAAGCAAGCAATCATAAAAGGAGAGGACAGGTATTGACGTTGAATATGACTACCGGTATATTCACTCCATAAAACTCAAGGTAATGGAAATAGTGTTGCTGCAGGTTTTGAAACTCAGGTATTTGTTTTGATTGTCACTTTTGATATTATTTTCTGGTTTTATTGTGCTTTTTATCATCATAATGCAATAGCATTTAAATGATTATGTGTCATTCACATGTATATTATGTAACAATAGCTATTGGTTTGAAGAATTGTCGATTTTACATATTAATGTTATGTAAGTATAGCTATTGCAGTCCAGTTCAGTATTTGCAGTGCAAGAAAATTAACCCTAGTTATCCCTCCCGACTTTAACTGATATGTGATGTGGACAAGTTCATAGCAGGAAGAAGGTTGAACTTGAAGACCTTAAATTGTTATGAAGCAGTATTTCATACATTTTATCAAATAAGAATATGGGATTCTTGTGTCTTACTGAGATTATTTTATATTTTACATTTTTGTATGGTTATTTTCTATGTGAAAGTTTGTTGCTTTGTGTTGTTTGTGTATGGTTTATTGTAAAGTACATCATTCAGTAGTTGCATTTTAACTTGTGTCTATATGATACAAATTAATATATAGATTATGCAAACAATGCTCTTGCCGAATATGTATTGTCATGTGTAAATATGACTAAGTGTGGCTACATAGCTATATGATCTATAATACAGATTCAGTCTGTAAACTGAACTATAGTAAATTTGATACTCTACACTGTATTCACTGTGTACATTATGTCATAAATCGGTGGTATGTCAACATGAAGTTGCTATGTACTCGTATGTGTATTATGGCAAACTGGCAGTATTTCACACAGTATGTAATAAAAACGTATAATTATGATCTCACACTGTCTGCAAATGTACTTGTTTATTTGGTATCAATTACATGTTTTTACAGAGTGAGACAGAACTATTTTTGTAAAAATGATTCTATAAATATCACAGGCAGCATTGCAGGTAAACATGAATATCATGGTGTATCATATAAAATTTTGGAAATGAAAGTCATTTTGGTTCCTAGTGAATTCTTTCATCAGTGACAACTTTGGAAGGATAAGGATACTAACCTCCAAATTTTCGATGGCTATCAGTCCATCTTGTTCACGGAGATATGATAGCCATCGAAAATTTAGGTAGGTTAGGTTATCCTTATCCTTTCAAAGTTGTCACTGATGAAGGAATTCACTAGGAACTGTATCTACACGTGACAAATGAATCTCTTCAACGAAAGTCGTTTTGATAAGTAGTTCTGTTCCTTGATTATAATATTATAAAACCTAGAACAGTGTCCTTCAATGGGTTGTCTTTCATCTCTCTGCATCTTGCTGTATTTCTTGGTACTCCTTCCTAAGTTCATCCATAGTTTCTGCAACAAAGGAAACAATTACATACATAGCCTCCTGTGCAGGCCCCGCGGCGGTGGAGAAGAGTTTTTAACGCGTTATTTTAATATAGCTGGCCATCCTACATAGCCGACGAGAGAAGGTTGCTTTCCCTTCTCTCGTCTGCTATGTAGGATGGCCGGCTATATTAAAATAACGCGTTAAAAACTCTTCTCCACCGCTGCGGGGCCTGCACAGGAGGCTATACATACACACCACATACAGCTGGTGTGTTACGCCGAAAGGCGGTTATACCGGCTATACAGATACAGATACAGATACAGAATTCATCTTGTTAGCTTGAAAGGTCATCTGTGTTAACAGAAGTCGTCACCAAAGCAGATTTTATGTTGCGACTTCCAACATTTATAATTCTTATGCAAGAACTTCATTTGGAAGGATGTGACTTACTTTTACACTCGCTCAGTAACTTTGTCTTGTCTTCTCTGAAGAACACATTACTGTTCTGTTGCTGCTTGTAAACTCTCTGTGGAAATGGAAACACACACGTCAAATTATTTTCTAACACGATTACTCTCACAAAATGCTCTAAATGCTAGTAGCAGTCATAAATGTATAAAATGACACGGATATGTATTTTTCTTATACCCAGTGAACAAGAACAAGAAAACTACATTGTATTGATAACAAGACATGCTATTTAATTCTAAGCATCCTTGATTTAAAACAGTTTACCTTGTCCTGTTTGACAGTTCTCAGCTCAATTTCAAGAACAGTCTGTTCATTCATCTGTACAAACATAGAGAATTCTGTGTTAAATTTCTTTAGCAACTACATTTGTCACACTATTACATAACCTACAGACAGACTGAGAGTGCCTTTACAACCAAGTCATAACTGGAGATATCACTGTCATCTATCATACCTGGCGTTCAACTTCATCCTTTCTTTGACCAGTTGCCATGGCTACAGACGTGGAAATTCCTCCTTTAGCTCCTTCTTCTCTTCCCTCTCTCTCACACACATCCCTCTCCTCCTGAGCCTGAGCTGCAACTAACCAATCAGGTCGCTGGAACAATGAAACATTCCCATCATCCTCTACACATTCTCAGTGACTTTCATTACATTAATTTTGATTGGACGAGAGGAGCGAGCTTTTGAAAATTGACCAATCAAACTGCGGCTTACATTTCCGAAACTGCTTGCTGATTCAAAATGGCGGCGCCCATACAAATGAGCGGGTTTTACTAAAGATATTGTTGGATTTTTGTAAATTTTATGCGACATGAACCGCGCTGGGGATTCCGGGACGCGGCAGGGGCAGGCGAGGAACATGAACATGAACGGGAGGGCGAGCATCAAGAGCTTCCTGCTGCGGGCGTGGCGGGAACGCTGGACGGAGCTACAGTGGAGCGTCAACTTGAAGCAAGCTTTTCCCGGAGGGTCTATGGACCAGTACCAACTTGCAGGTATGGCTTGTATGGATTCTTGGAGCTGTTGTGATCAGTATGTTTATAGATTTAGCTGGGTTATGAATACATAATCACCATATCGTATCGCCAATTTTTTTGGAGGTGGTGGTCTAAACAATAAAAACAACAACATTGTCGTTGATAAAATAAAACAATAGAATTTGATTGAACTACTGTATGAATTGTTGTAAGCATAACAAGTCAGTGTGCATTGTCTCCATGACAAATGTGGAATCTATCTTAATTGCATGTTCTGTCGTGTGTTTTACACCAGATTATTTCTGAAGCAACACTCTTGTCTTTTAAGAAGCAATACTCTTGAACTAAATAAGGTAATAAAATGATTTGGAAATTTTAATGAAAAATGATGATTTTGTACTAAATATTGTTATGTTTATGTTCCCTAGAGTGTATCCTGCAGCAGGCATTTGTTGGCCCCACCCCGAACACCCTGGTCCTGTCGTACCTCCGACACGCTCTCAGTTCACAGGTCGTGTCGTACGGGGCTTTCCTCAACGCTCTCACTAAGGTACGATTTCAGTATCTCCAAGCAGAGCTTTCAGTACCATAGGCAGTATCAACAACAGACGATAAACCAGAGAGAAAGAGAGAGAGAGTATCAAGTAGGATTTCACTTTTGTTGTCTTGTTGTGTAATTATATGATTAATGTGCATAAGATTATATGATTTAAATGTGCATAAGAATATAATTGTTCATGAAATAACAAGACATGTATCCATTTTTCCCCATCCATCCAGTACGAGGATGTTACCAGACCACTCTGCACCAGAACCTTGCTGGACCTTCTCAACTGTTACGCAGCTCATGTCAGGTAGGCCTGGACAGTGTGAATCTCTACTAGCTCTAGCAGTGTCTTCTTCTTCTTTCAGTAAGGCGACCGCTTTCAACGTTGGACATTGGTAAGGTCCTGCCAGTCCCATAGATATGTACGGTATGTACTGTTTATTGCATGTGTTTGTGAACATGATTGTTTGTTTACTTCTTTTTCTTTGTTGTTGTTGTTCCAGCTGCCTGGGTACCCCTGACTCCTGTCTGCTCCTGTGTAAGTCTCTGGTCCTGACCGTCCTGTGGTTACTGAGGTGTGTCAGCCAGGCTGTGGAGAAGGTAAAGTACAGACAGTAAACATGCTTCTTTTTCATTTCTCATGTACCACATTCGATGTAACCGGAGCGTTCAATACAAAAACCACTAACATGAGACTGCCTCAAACATTTTACAGTCAATTCAGTTGCAGTGTTTTTTTCTGCTGTGTTTGTTCAGCTGAAGGAGTCGACAGAGTACGCTGACATCCTGCGTGTGACAGGAGAGGTTCTGGGGAAACTGTTAGGAAACGGACAGACCAGGGCACTGCTTTATGTAGGAAAGATGGAGGAAACAGGTCAGGATTGTTTGTTTGTTTGTTTGTTTGTTTGCAACAGGAGATGGCCTGGAATGTATTTGGGTTGTCTCTTCACTTTATTAGGTGGAGCAGTTTAATTTAAATTTGCCTAGTATGTTAGTGGTGTCAGCTCAAATCTTTCCAATATGGCTTTGTGAAGTCAAGTTTTCCTAATGCATGAGTTCAAATTTTTAAATGTCCGAACTTTTTTGCCCCATGACACACCCCTTTTGCCTAATATGGAAATGTCCCAACCCTTTTGTCACATGACATACCGGTACCTCTTTTGCCTAATATGGAAATGTTACACTTGTTCTATTGCCTGATTGACAGCTGGATGGAGTAAGCTGGAGCAGCTACAGACCTCCCTGCACGACTCCATCCAGTCCCTGGCTCAGTCCGGGCTGATCGTGCGCGACACGGCCAGCGGTCTGCAGCAGGCGTTCTACCAGCTGACACAGCTGCCGCACGGGAAGACGCTCTCCCCGCCGGGTCCGACACACGGCCACGGAGCGCTCAACTCCAGCATCGCCGTTCTGTCCTTCATCGAGGCGACCCTCAACACCACCAGTGACACACAGCTGTTTGTGGAGCTGCTGCTCCTCATAGAGAGATTGAATGTGAGTTTCTTGTTTTATGTTTTTTGTTTTCAGTGTGGTTGTCTTTCTGAATACAGTACAAATGTGAGGGGGAAATGGTATAACCGCAGACTGACAGGAAATTCGAATTGGAGGCTGCAAACACTATTTCCTGCAGTTTCTAAGGGGCAAATTTTTCAGTTGGTAGCGGCCTAAACTTAGTTCAATGACATCTCTTTCCACATCTTTACACATCAATGATCACGGATTGGGCAAAAGTTTCTCCCTTATGAGCAGCAATATTATGTCAAATGACAGATAGACGGACACTACTATCTAGAACACTGGTGTGAAATCTTGGATTCCGATTTCTTCCCTTGCAGAAAATCCCTCGGCCCCGTCTGTATGCCCAGGTGTGTCAGGCCTGTCTGATGGGGCTGATCGACTCTGCTGAGACGAATGACGAACTCAAGTGGACAGCTTTCACATTCCTCAAGGTACAGGGGTCAGTCTGTTAGATAGTGTGACACGCAATAATAAGATGCTCCAACACAACAATTAAAGTAGTTGAACAAGAAGAATAAATTTAAAAGTATTTTAAAAAGGAACTACCCGTATAGTGATTATGAATATATTTCCGTGATCTTCCAGTGTTTCATGATAAAGAAGACTGACATGTGCCACTCTCTATTACGCTGTTGGAATATGTTGTTTTCTTCAATGCCTTTTTCTCAGATTCCTCAGATTTTCCAGAGGTTGAAAACCTTCACCCAGGAAGGAAAGGTAATACATGTAGAAATTTCTTCTTGGACCAACATGTACTGGCACAAAAGTTACATGTACATGTACAATTTATCTTTTGAATTATGGATATATTGATTCAATCTGTGTGCTAAAGTATGTTTCAGGTACATGTAGTTTGCCTGTCTGCAGTTCTTTGTGGGTTGCTAGATGGTGCTCATGAGAATGACTTGATATGTTCTTGACACTGCAGGATGGTAGGGAGGAGATTTACCAAGGATTTGAACTCCTGCTGAGACTACAGCCTCTGATCGACAAGGCTGATGTCAAGAACAAGTAAGTGACAAAATATTTCTTCATGCTTTTTTAAAAATCTTTGCATGCACATATTTTAAAGCCAATGTTCATTTTGTTTCAGGACCCTAATAAGTAACCATACACCGAAAAGCAAAGATAATCCTCCCTCAGAAGGATATCTTCTTCTCCAGAAGTAATGAACAGTCCAAGGGTTGTGTGAATGCATATTACAGCTCTTTGAATGCAGAAGTTTATAGCTATTTTTGTGTGTTCTCTAGTTGTGACATCATGCAGCAGCTACTACAGGAGTGTGGGAAGAAGGACCTTCTGGCCGACACACAGACCAAGAAACTTCTGGAAAAAAGGTGAGGCTTTGCTTTGTGCAGCTGCGCCACCTAGCAATCTGCTCAGGAAGTACCACTTACTGCAATCACCAAATTGGAAGTCAGAAATATCAAATATGGAGGCACATTGATTGTGTGTTTTTCTTAGGGCTGTTGACAGGAAGAATCTGAAGACCAAACAGGACCCTCCCCCATCCCAACCCAACCCTACCCTCATCCTGAGAGCAGAACCTACTGTCACCAACATCATCAAGGTAAATCTGTTCCACCTGTGTGTTTATTTCCAATAATTTTAGAGCCCTGTTTATACTGCTCTGCCTCAGAGTATAAGATTGAATGAACAGGATTACTTTGTTGGAAGCAAACAAACTTAGCCACGTTTGGGATTGTGTCCTTGCCGCAAAAGTGCCACCAACATCGGCTACATATAGCTGTGAGAAGCAGTACTCCAGTCAGAAGCTCTGAGGAAGGTGTCCGATGGACAACGAAATGTAAGCAAGATAGGAAAAATCCCTGTTTTGTGTATAAGGAAACCCCGATATCTGAACAGGATTACTTTCTTGCAAACAAAGTTGATGATAGATAATGTTCCTGAGTGTGTTTTTCCAGACCATGGAAGCAGACTACTCTAAGAACCAGGACATGATCCTGGGTGTGCTGGGTCACATGATGTCAGGGAAGAGTTTTGAGTTAATTACAGCAGCAGCTGCCACAACGGGAAAACTGCATATGTTTGCCAGCAGACTTATCAAGTAAGTATTAACTACATTGTACATGTACAGTACAGGAAAACTGCACATGTTTGCTAGCAGACTTATCAAGTACGTATTAACTGCATGTACAGTACAGGAAAACTGCACATGTTTGCTAGCAGACTTATCAAGTACGTATTAACTACATGTACAGTACAGGAAAACTGCACATGTTTGCCAGCAGACTTATCAAGTAAGCAGAAGAATTTTATGCCAATGTTGCTCAAGGAATGCTCTGGGCATACATGAAATCATTTTGTGTTGTGTTGTGTTCTGTTCTGTTCTGTAGGTTTAATGAATTCGCCAAGCATTCCAGTGGAGAGGGAAGTGAGTACTCATCTTCTGTACCTTGTATCTTGCTTACACTGTAACACATATTTGTGTCAACAGAACATACTACGCCTGCGTGAAACCTAGATTTTTCATAGTTTTTGTTGGATGTTTAGTCAACCAATGTTGCATCAGAATTTTGCCTGTAACAGACGACACTTGTGACTTGTGACTGTGATTTTGTTCCCCAGGTAAGGTATCCCTGAGTCGAGCTGTGTTGTTTGACATCTCCTTCCTCATGCTGGGCTACATCTGTGTCATGTATGGTACTGAGGTATGGAACAGTTCCCTTCAACTTTAGTAACCTGTATTTACTGTGTGATGATAAATGTCTCATATCATTGCAGAGCTTTACCTTAGATTATGGGTGGTAATTTTGGTGTCTAATGTATTGATGTGCATATATTGTTGTATTGTTTCTACCGGTATTTGTAGTATTTTGTACTCGGTGCCTGGTATCTTTAAAAAGCAGTGCCCAGTACATGTAACAGAAAGGCACCTTGAAATGTTCACATCTTTATCTTCATGTCCCACACACACACAGATAGTGTGCACCACCAGTGCAGGGGCAGGGAACGAACCATTCTTTGAGACGTGGGTGGGGCAGTGTCTGCCCATCGAGCAGAAGTGCCGCCCCGTGGAGAACATGGCACATCCTGACCCTGCCCGGGTGGAGAGTCTCCTCACACAGATCAACTCAGGACAGGAGATCAAGACCAGGTGGGACACCCTGTCACACATTCTGTATCTGTATCTGTATAGCCGGTGTAACTGCCCTTCGGCGTAACACACCAGCTTCACCACATTTAGAACCTTCCCCCAAACACCAAGCAACCAAGGTTGGCTGAAGTTCGGGAGAAGCAAGGAGCTTAAAAATCATGTGTAGAGAAGTCTGACCATATTTAGGCCACACTTACCTTTCTATACAGATCAAATCAAATTTGAGTTAAATTTTAGCCAAATTTGACTGCCAACCACACTTCAACCTACTCCCAATCATCAGCCAACTGTTGCCAAATTGCAGGACTTTTAATCACGATTTGCACACATGTAAATGGAAAATTATTCCAGATCTGTATATAGTTTCCTAGAACCATTTGGTTCTTTTTCTGAATAAACAATTACTGTAGGTAATGGAAAGCTAGTGGATACTAGCTGAAATGTCTGACGTTTTCAAAATCATATCCAGTTGCTTGAGTAACTGTTTTTTGGCATAAACAATTGCTGTACTTTTGTGTGTCCAGCCTGCAGAGATGGCAGGACGTCTGCACAAACATCCCGTTTGCCATCCAGGAGATCCTGACAGCCTGGGAGAACGGAGCACTCAGCGCTGATGCTGTACAGGTGAGGACCAATCACAAGGCCTTATCATGCATGTATGTTCTCTGATTGGATAAGAACAGACCAATCAGAGGTGCAAAGATTTCATGATTGGATAGGAATGGGCCAATCCCATAACACCATATTCTAGATGGTTTTACCCCAGAGGCATTAATGAAATGTAAGGTTTGGTCATTGGCTAGGCCAATTCAAAGTGAAAGATTTAAACTGAGTGAAGTAGTGCTCCAGGTAGAGGAAATATTTAGCTCTGAATTTTGTGACAGAAAATGGTGTGGTTCCTCACACGTTCTGTGCATGCTGTAAAAATTCTTTGACAACATCAAGCGACATATCACATAATAAAATTTACTTGACTCATGAAGATTAGCTCTAACCTTGCTTGATGTAAAAAGTTAGCTTGCAGTTCCTTTATGGGCCACTAGATGTCCTCACATTCTGCCTGTGTGTATTTTGCAGAAGTTCTGTGACAACATCAAGCGTCACATGTGCTGCCTGCCGGTGTGTATCGCTGCCTGGCTGTGCAGCTACATGCAGGGACTCACCGCTCCGGAGAGGGAAAAACCACTTAAGCTGCTGAAACACATGCTGTCTCCTATACAGGGGGACCCCACCATGTCTCAGTATAATGAGAGGTGGGGGAAATGTCACGTTAACCTTCTTCCTGCTGTCTTTCTCTGTAACAGAGAGGGCTGCATGTCTTTTTGCAGTTAATTGCAGCCCACCACTTTAATTTAATGTTGGGACATTCTTTCAGAAGCATAGTCGGTTTCTCTAATTCCACGTAGCACAGCAGTCATTGGCATTTGTTATCCTGAATTTATTATTAGACGTTATTGAAAAATTCTTTGCATCCTGCAGTTGAACACCAGATTGCCCAAAATCACAACGGAGGGTCCAATAGCCACAGACTAGTTTTACCAGACACCCCATGAATGCAAAAGAACATTCCCATCCAAAGAAGTTGCCAGAAAGTCAACTTTTACCTTTCAGCTTTTCTAAGATTCAGATTCTGCATAAGTCAACAACCCTTACCTCAAGTCGTAGACCACTTTGCAACCTGCTTCTTTTATAATGATGAGACCCCCTTTTTTTTCTTTTAACGTTTGACATTATTCCAGCTGAGATTTCTGTGAATCAGCATCCATGTGGTGATTTTTCCAGGTCGAGTCTGATGATCCACATTATAAAGAAGATCAGTGGAGACCTGCTGTCTGCCAAGTCCTCCAGGTCAGCCGGGGATGCCCGGGATGTCATGGGAGGGGCCGAGACAGGCAGGCAGGTGTATGCAGGTGAGAGTTGTAGGGACAGGTGTTTACAGGTGAGAGTTAAGACATGTGATACAGGTACATTCAGGTAACATTAAAAATTACCTGCACCAGAATTTAGATAGAGTATAAATTACACCAAAAACTGTTCAAAGACAATTGCCATTATTTCTTTTACTTGTACATTTCGTAGGTGGTAACAGTGAATACAGCAAATAAAAATCTATGTACACCTACATGTAGGTGCAGGTAGACCTCAGAAGTACAATTTTACCTGCACTGACCTGCATATGCAGGTGGGATTTCAATCTGTCCATTTGTCCACCTGTACATTTATCCATTTGGATGCTCATCTATCAGATTCATGATCCAATTTTTCTTGTCTTCATTACAGGAGTATTTGGCCATGCCATGCAGCAGGGCTGGGTGGACGGCCGGGGCATCTGTTCGGCCGACAACATGCTGACCATCGGGGGAGCGCGCTGGTTCTGTCACTCTGCGGTCAGGGAGATCCTCAAGTGCAGTAGGAGAGAAGACCTGATACAGTCTGGTGAGCAGAGATCACTGTTCTAGTCAGCGTCGTCTTTCTGTCAGTTGACAGAATTTTGCCCCTCATGACAACCAAAAATTTTGACGTATTTGTCATTTTGATGTGAAAAAATTTGCATGAAAAGATATAGAAAAAGATGTCATTAAACTAAGCTTAGTCTGCCAGCAAAATTTACTCCGGAAAATGCTGAAAATAGTGTTTCAGAGGTCAAGATTTCAAAATTTTCCCAGGGAAGCATGCCATAGCCACACTAGGATGTCTTCAGCACTCAACAGATGTCCCGGGTATCTAACTGCGAAATAAGAAATATGAGTTTTTCTTGTGTACAATTTAAGACTCATTGTTGAGATTTACTGTTGTTGTTTTTTTTATACAGTGAACGTAGCCCTGGCGCTGTTCCAGTTGGACAGCGAGCCTGTGGCCGTCGCGCTGTTATCACACGTCATCCCCGCTCTCCTACTGGACTCCTCCAAGCGCGAGCTGCTGTGTAACCCGCGCGGCGCGACCCTGGCCAGGCTGGCCGTGCAGTGCACCGCCATGGCCTTCCTCACACAGAACAACGACCGGCGGCGCAACGGGAGGTCACGGAGTCGGAAGAGAGGCAGGGAAACAGACAGGGAGGTGAGATGATATTTAATTATAACCTTCTCTCTCTAGTGGGATTGTGTGGTGTAATGGTTGGGTGTTTGGCCCAGACTCCACACATGTTCAAGTCCACCAACATGCACCCAATATTGTGCCCTTGGGAAAGGCACTTAACATGACTTTCCTCACTTCACTCAGGTTAGGGACGTCCCTTGGGTAGGACATTAAATGGAGGTTCTGCCCCACGCATGTTTAAGAACCTACCACACCTTACAAAACAGATTAGAGGTGTGCCCCAGTGTATGATGGTCCAAATACTTAGTACTACATGTATCTGGCAAATCCCTGTCTTAAGTTGGGATTTGAATTCATGATGTCCTAAACACTGGATGAAACCCTATTAGAAGTCTTTGTGTTCCGTTCCCCAGTACGTGGTGTCGCCGGCGTCTAGCGGCAGCGGGAAGGAAGACGAGAGGCCGTCCAAGTTACGGATTCTGCTCAGCGCTCCTGAGAACGAGGCACAGAATCCTGCCATGCAAGGTTCTTATCTGTAACTCACTTTATCTCACAGGAGTAAAAGTTTTGAGGAAAATGTTCAGGAAAATCAGAAACTACAGTATCTGTATTACCTGTATTCAGTCAGAACATCTTTTATTTTTTAAAGACACTAAAATAACCCTGACAGACACAAATGACAGGGACCAACATTCTTTTTGTTATGTGTGTTTTTGTAATACCATGTATGTGTAATGGTTTTATCCCAAAGGGCTTCTGTGGTTTCAAAGAAAACTTGACAAACAGGTTATCAAAATAATTTCTTCACATCCAAGGGGAGGGCTGAATCTTTGTGTAAACATTACATAGAGTGGACTTGGATATCTTGTCTGGTGCATGTAATTTTATCTTTGCCGGTGCAGGTAAGTATGCAAAAAAGTATTTCAAGCCCAGGGTTAGTACAGGTAAAACTGGAGTTATTCTAATAGAACTAAACCTCTGTGTTTTCCAGTGAATCTCCCATCCTACAGTAGTAATGAACAACCAAAGCTCGCTGCACAAATCAGCAACGTCAACTTCAAGGAACCGCTCAACCACGCACTCGGTGAGTGATCCAACACTTCTTGTAATTTCTATTAACACTCAACCCCATGTGAACAAGCTCTTCCCAGTTTTAACTGAAAGTTATCTGTTTATAGAGCCTGGTTTATACTACAACATCCCAGCATGGGATTCAGCAAGGGTCCTATTGTTTCTCAAAACAGGGTTGTTTCTCAGGGTTGTTTTGGTAACCTTGTGTTTTGTTTTGGCCCACAGTTCGGTTGTTCCAGCTGTTCTCAGATATACTGACGGACAGCTCGGTGGGACCCCATACCGCGTTCGTGGTTTCGTTTGTGCAGGAGTCAGTGAGGACTGGGGAACAGGCGAGCAAGGCTATACTACAGTTCATGCCTTTCTCTATGGTAAAATCACAAAGCTTTGTCATACTTAAATCTTTTACCAGATCATGAGGACAACCCATTGATTGGAACGCAGCTTCCTTAGCTATATGTACATGTATTTTGTCAGTTTGAAGTTTGTTAACCAATTTTCTCCACCCTTCTCAGTCAAAGTCCTGATAACTGTGACACATGGTACATGTAATACTACTTCAGTTTTAATTTCTTTGCTATGGTTAGGTCTTCATGTGAACGTCTGTTTTGCTTGACTCCAAAATCTTGTAAATCTTATAAAACCTAGTCATTTTGTACCCCTATAGCTCCATGAGTATATTTCATACTGAATATTAATCTTCATATAAAGCAAAGTCCTTTTGCACCCCTGTAGCTGCCAGCCCTGTTGCAGTGTTCTTCGGGAGTCTTCAGTCCAGAGGACATCACCCTCATGGGAGACCTGACTCTGCCCATGGTGCGGAAAGTCATCGCCAAGGCTGTCTGTTACTACAGACCCATCTGATCCAACAAATTTAAGAACAAGTAGGAATCAGAGATTTCGTGACAGAAATCAACAAATATAGCAACAAGTAGGAATCAGACATTTTGAGATTCTCATGCACGAAACACAAGCAGTTGAGAAACATTGCTGGTTGTGTAAGAAGAAAATCCCTATATCCAGTTTATCAACTGTAGAAGCTGTTGTACATATATCTACAGGAAGTGGGGGGGAGGCAAGACTGTTCCTGTACAACTTGTACTGGTTTAAGTTTCTGTCAAACCCCATATAGTTTAAAGCCTTTTGTAGAAACATTACCAGTTTAATGCCTTATCAACTGTGAAACATGTACATGTAGATGTACATGTGGTATGTACATATACAGGAAGTGGGAGGGAGACAAGACTGTTCCCTACATGTTGTACTGAGTTCAGGTCCTGTCGCTTCCAATCCCATCAGATTGCAGACCTGTTTTCAAAAGGACCAAAATGACCTTGACTGTGCCCTGAGGGATGACCTTGCACCAGATGGCGGTACAAGTACTAAGCACTGCCTGTTGGCAGGAGTAACTTGGATCCAGTGTGCGGCAAGCACTGACTTGTACATCATTGTGAGTGGATCACAAGTGTGGGCCCTTGTCCCAAAACCTATTCACCACAAGTACATTGTCATATACATGTAACACAAACCTGAACCCTATATCTGCTAATAGATTATACACAGACATGTAACACACAGACACACACACACACACACACACACACACATGTACACACCTACACTCAACATGTGCTAACATTGTCAGATGTTTTTATATTGAATGTGTGGTATGCTATCATGTATCTTCTAGATACAATGTTTATGTATGTACAATGTGTGTAGCCTGGTTACTAAACCTAATTTAGCTGCGGAGTTTATTTTGTCCTCTCAGCAAATAAGTCTGGACCCACTTGATTCCAAACTGTTTTAATATTTGCAGAGAGGACAAAAGAGACTCTGCAGCTAAAATGAGTTGGTAACCAGGCAACAGCATGTGTAGTTGTTCAGCTGTAGTAAACACACAATTTAGACATTCTTTTATTTCTCTATTGGAAGATGTAGAAAAGACAACGATATGTCTTTGTCATTTACATCAGTATTTATTAAAACATTGTATAGAAAAGATATCCTTACTTCTCTTCTTTTTGCATTGAATAGTTTCTCAAAATACATCTCTCCCTCTCTCAATACCAACATTTCAGAATCTTTATGCAGAAGTGGTCACTAGTGCAGGTCTGCCTGTACAATGTATTCCAGTGGTCCTTATAATGTTCCCATTGTTAAAATTGTACGAGGTCAGCTTTCTACATACAAAGTTATCCATACAAAATGTTATATTACAACTTTGCTGAAAAATACACCCCCTCTATGTGTACATTTAGAAGAGAAGTTACATTTTTATGTGCTTGGTTGGCATTTATGAAGTAGTAGTTTGTTCCCCATCCTGCCAATACCTTGAGAAATTCACCCCAAGATAACCTAATGTACATTGTTGAACTTGAAGAGAATGAAAGAATTCACTAGGAACCCTAATGTACATTGTAAGTCAAAACTGGCCAAAATCAATAACCCTAACATTCTAGTAAATTTCTTATGGTCAACATTTTTAAAATCCAGTTGTATACTATATAATACACAATGGTCCACATTGGTCAATACTGGCATAAGGTCTCGTTTAGGAACTAACTTTGTACAATGTATTGAAACTGGCCATAGAAAACTCATTTCTACATGATTAGATGATATAATTTCCGTACAAAACGTTTCAAAAGAGATCAGATGTTGCTCCCTCATAGAAGCATGAAAATTTTTTAGTCTCATTCTCAGGGCCTAACTGAGGACTGTCTGTTGTAAAATTTCCTTGGCAGCATGTTGGCCTTGGCCTGGGTACCATCCTGGTTAGTCTATGTCCGCTCTGATAGTTGGCGAGTACGTAGCAGCTATTGGAGCAGACATAAATGCTATCCAGGATGGTTGGCCCCAGAGTCAAAGTAGCTGGCCTGTGTTGGCCCTAGGACTAAGAATGTGCTGGAGACTATGATATAACTGCTACACTAGAGAAGATACAAAAGTGCGAGAAGTGCCAACAGAAGTAGCAGGCCGGAGCTGTGACTTCTGTTGCCCAGACTGGTGATTACTGCGCAGAAGGGGTTGTGGTCGATGTTCATGTGCACGTCCACCCAGGCGTGCGCAAAGTCCTGCAGGTCCAGCGTACAGTACTGGTCTGTCACTCGCTGTACACAGCTGATCGACTCTGTGTATGTGCTGAGGGGAGATACAGACATGCAGAGTTAAAAACTTATGTGGCATTCAAAAATGTTTGGAATAAACATGATGTACAAAATGACTAATAAACTGGTGACGTACCAACTAC